ACAAGGAGCCCCAGCTTCACTTCCAGAAGTAGATTTTACATTTTCATAGCCACAGGCACTTTGTCCCTCCCACCTTGGTGTTAAAAATGGGTAAGTTGGTTAGACCCTTTTGGCACCATGCCTCAGCATAACTCAGAGATTCATGCCCCAAACTCTTTCTATGAAAGAAGCATCTTTCTGTTTCTTTCTTTTGTCTTTCAGCCCAGCCCTGAGGTTTGTTCCTTCCAGGGCATGCAGTTCAGACTGAAGATATGCAAGGCAGGGCTGGGTGAAGACACTGTAATGCCATAATGGAAGTTAATTCCCCCCTGGGGAGCTGCTGGCTGACAAGGTGTGTCTGCCAGACCACAACACGGCCCTTCACCATTTAGTCTGGCCTGTTAAGGAGAACTTTAAATAGATATATTTATGTTTGATCACCACTAGCATCCCCTGTTACTAGCACAGGCACAGTGAAATTAATCTGGAGGCAAGCAGCTCTGTTACAAAGCACAGTGAATCCAGGACCTGTTGTGCCTCTGGGCCATCAAAGCCTCTTCTGTTTCCAGCACTTTATACCTTGTTCTCAGCCTCATCATAATTGGCTTATTAATTAATTAATACTTCAGAGACTGTGAAGCTGCTAAACATCACATAAAACCAACAAATATTTATATCTTATTAAACATAAAATAGGATATTTTGTAAGTAGAATTAAATTCCTTTACTGCCTCTCAGTTTTAAGCTTAGCTGACAGCTAGTCTTACAATACATTTAAAAATGTGAACATTTAGGAAAGGGTAATTATGCAAATAGACTAATGAGATCCATGCACACAGCAGCAGCTCCTCCTCGTGTTCTTGGCAAGAGGTCACCAGCACCTCCCGAGCTGGATGCGCATTGGACACATCTGCAAGAGCTTTACATTGTGATACCCTCCAGAGGATGGTTTTAATTACAGGAATTTATTCTGGCACATGGATCCAGTTTTGTTCTGCTGCTTATGTGAGGCACTGCCTGCAAGGGTACCTTGGTGAAAATCACACTGGCACTGCTTGATCTGCCTGCCCTTTGGTGGTGGTGCCCTGAGAGCCTGTTCAACGTGCACCTCCTCACTGGGGCCTCCCCAGGGCACTGCAGGAGGCCAAGAAGAGATTGTACTACGTGCCTGCAGCCTGGTCCCGCTGGAGGAGTACTTTATTGGTTGACACTTATTAATTTCGTCTCATTAATTTGCATCAGATAGTAATTTCCTCTCTGCTTTCTTAAGAAGTATTGGGAATGTGATTATTCTCCTCTTGCAATGAATTTCTTCTTTCATTCATTACGGCATAATTATCTCTGTGGTGTTGAAATATCTGGTGTACTAATAACTACTAATGATCCTGGGAGTTGACATGGGGTGTACGATTTGTCCTGGCCACTGGAAAAGATTAACACTTTGAGCTTGGCATCACACGCACTGAAGTGCTGAAGTCTGTTATTGTATTTTGCAATATCAATTAAATAGTACAATGTTTAATAGAATCAACTTTTATGTTTATATGGTTATTTCTTATTATTTCAGGCTTGGAATTGAGATCTAGCCTGCCAGTGTTTAGGGACATCCCTAAAGACATGTGACATTTGAAGCTCTGATCCGTGGTTGCATGGATTTTGCAGAAGGTAGGTGATATTTGACAAGCACCAAAATCAGCAAGACTTAATTTCAACAGAAGGAGCATTATCCTAACATTTACAAGATGAAAGGTTTATTGACTAGATTAAGAATATTTATTAACTGTGCTGAGAATGACATAATTGAGCAGCCCTGTGCACATTCTCCTAATGCCCTCAGGGTAATTAAAAGCACTCTGGCCGCTGCTGAGTTCTGTTTGCCTTGAATTAGCAGCCTCCTTTGTGGCTGCACGGGCCCAGGTGTCTTCTTTAGAGGGAAGGAGCTGAGTAGGAGCAGGGACACCAAAAACTCTGCCTCCCCAGAAACACTTGGGTAGCTGTCTTGAGAAAAAGGTTGACAAGGAAGGAGAAGAAATGACAGGGCAGTTAACAGCAGAGATCCAGAACCACTCCAGGCTGGGACACGGCAGAGAGAAGGGCAGCTCCTTTCCTTCTCTTGCCTCCTCCCAGCCATGGTTCTGTACATTATGTATGAGGAGGTTGGGACACATTTTTGTCCCTGAACCAAGTTTATACCCTGCTGTGTCTTGATGTTTAGGGCTAACACTGGCCTCTCTGCTCTGAGTGCTTAAGCTGAACTGCTGCAACAGCAGAATCCAAAAACTGAAAAAATACACATTCTGTCAAGTAACCCCATTTATTCATGTATACATTTTCACTTTCTACTCCTAAGAGTACATAACTTCTACTTGTTTTTAATGTGGATAAGAAAGTCATATTACATAATGACAGTGTCCAAAAGCTTAAGACAACTGTGAATTATTCAAGCCACCGTTTTTCTCCCTTCTGCTGCAAACTACACTAATAAATAGTAAATAATTTGCTGTCAGAACAGGTAGAGACACCTCCCTTTCAGAGAAGCTTAGCATTTCTATCTCCTGTGCTGCACCTGAGAACATCCCTTCATTCCCAGTGCAGCTCCCATCAATCAGGACAGCATCACAGGGGAGACAGAACCTTTTCCCACCTAAAAGAAATGTGTCTCCAGGGAGTAAGTAACAAGATTCCTGCAGACCATACATACAAAAATGAACTTTACTTGTGCACAAGTTTTGGGCAGTAAAGTAAGTCTCAAGACATACACAGTATCAGTAATCTTCTCCACTGTATTATTTTAAGCCAGTGCTTCTTAGAAATAATACTGGCTGAAACACAACAGCTCAAAGATCAGCCCTTTAAACCTCTCTCTCCAAGTGAGCATGGGTGAGGATCTGAGGCTGGGAAAAAAAGCACATACCTGGTTGGGAGCCATGTGTCTAAACTCCTTAAAAACCACTTGCAAACTGCTTGACAAGATTTTTGTGTAACCAGCCTATAGCAGAGCCAGGAAGCAGGTCTTGGAACGCCAGAATTGTTATCTAGTTGTTTGTTTGTGAAAATAAATTTCCAAGCTGTTCTAGACTCTTAACACAAATTACTGGTTTCAACTGTATAATGACAGATGCTGCAGACACAGATGCATCATTACTGCATCATACAGGCTGTAACCACACTTCTTGCTGCCCTGCCCACCTCACCTCCCTCTGCCCCATTCCTCCTTTGCTGTGCAATTCCAGATACATTTCAACATGTCAGTTCATTATACAGGCTGGTGAGGAAAATAAGATGCAGGTGACACTCCTCTCTTGGTGCAGCTGGTAACCTGAACTTTGTTATGCTCCTCAGCGAGGTGGTGCAGCTTGGGAGGCTGCTGTGGATGGGAAAGTGACTGCAGCAAGACACCAGTAGTCAACAAGAAACAGTAAGTTACGGTTCTGTGCTAACAGCACAGAAACTGAACTCAGAGTTACCCAGGGAGGTTTCACATCACTCGTTAAATGTCAGGATGCAAGTTCATTGTTCATAGAACCATGAGGTTCACAGAAGCTGTGATGGGAACATGGATCCAATTTTCTGTTTAATTCCAATTCACTCCCCTGTATGTTCCTTGGCCTTCAAGGAGCAATTCCTGCTTCATGCCAGAGTCAGCACACTTAAATGCAGCCTTGCTGTCTGCAGTCCCTTAGTAGAAGGTTTATTTGTGCTCAACAGGATATCAACAGTACCACCAAGTTGTGGTTGCAAGAAGAAATACAGAAATTGTAATTTAGCTGGGTGTCTGAGCTTTGGCAGTTATTGAAATTTAATTCATACAACTGGATCTCCTGAGATAATGATAAAGTTAATTTTCATTGCAAGTCCATTAGACAGAATGCCTTATCTTGATTTAAAAATTGCAATTGCAAAATGATGGACATGAATACTCTAAGTACAAAGGTATCCTGGCATCTCTGAGCAGTTTTTCAGCATGGGAGTGCTACTCATCCTACAGATACTGCAGATACGAAAAATGTGATGTGCAGCCAACACACCTGTGCAGGTAAAAGCCCCAGCTTTTCACATGGACTTTGCCAAGATCAGTGAGAGGCAGCAATAAGAGTTCTCCTGGGCAGCACTCCACAGGCAGCACTTCAGCTTCCCAAGGAACCTCTCAAAAGGCTGAACCTTGCCCTTGCTCAGTAATTCAGCTCAGGAACAATGATTTTAGCAGTGAATTTGGAGGCAACATAAGTTGTGCCTGGCTCTAAGCAGGACGTGATCTTGACAAACAGGTCAGTGCACCTCAGAGCTGCCATCCCTTCACTCCCTCCACCACCTCTAATCACACCACACCATCTTCAGCAATTGCAACTCTCAGTGTTGATCTCTAAGCCTTATGTCTTCCTAAAGATTAATAAAACATATCAGGAGTCAGAAATCCCCTTGCCTGGCTGGTGGTGCTGTGCTGGGGGCACCTCAGGACAGGGCTGTTCCTCCTGGCTAGGGAGCAGCTTATCAGCTAACACATGTCTGCAGCTAGAAGATATTGGCAGGCAATTCTCTTTGGCAGCAACTACGTTGGAAACCCAAAGTCAGACTTTGTTTGTAACATGTTTGTAACTTTGTTTGTCATGACTGTAAGTCCTGACAGTAAGTCATGTGATTTCCCAGCAGAGCCGTCTAACAAAGGCAGCATTTCTGATTATATGTAATGGCTGCTCAGGATACAGTACCCAAATATGGAGGAGGGAGAAGACTGGGTTAGCAGAAAAGTCTTTGATCTTATATGATTTAAGAAAGTCATTGTGAATATATTTATTTGGAATAAAGAAAACCTGATGGTCTGTGAGGTCAGCAGTAATCAGGCTTAGACTACTGCTAAAATAATGGTTTGATTTCTTTGTACTTGCATACTTTTAGCTGTTCTACATTCTGTCAGCCTTATGACAACAGTCATCACTTGCTTTTATGTTTTGTGTTAAAACAGACCACAAGCCTCACGGATATCTGAGAGCATAATTTTTATTATTGTGGTACCTAAATAACAGCAAAAGGTTTAAATGATGTTTTTCGGAGATTTGCTCACCACTCGGATTCTCTGAATTAGTGACAGACTATTCTGGAGGCTAGTGGAACTAAAATAGCCATTGAAAGTGTTTTCTGCATAAAGATTGGAGCTTAAATGAACTATTCATCTGACAAATTTGGTCCCTCACTGAAAATTTAATACATTCTTCAACATTTACTAGAACAAATAGAAAGACACTAAATGAGGGTGCCAGCCCTTGGACACTGAAGTTGTATCTGGACTGAACTACCACAAGCTTATGAGGACCAGTCTGCCTCCAGGCACTACCATTAGTATTTCAAACATGAGGTTTCAGCCTTGGATGAAAAGGCAAAGTTCAAATTAAATAAACTTTTCAGAGTGTCACACTGGAATTTACTTCAAAACCTCTGTCCAGAGGGCACTGAAAGGTTGGTAACATCAAATTTAACCCATTTCAAGAGCCCTGGAATTTTCATGAATTTTGTAGGGTTTCAAACGTACTTCAGTAAAAGTCCAGGAACAGACTAGTTTAGAGTCCCAGCATTCAGAGGTATCTCCCATTTTAAGGACACTCATGTAGCATCCATATCCCAGTGAAGTGAACACAGATGGCACGAAAATATCCTGCATACAGAAACACATGCCTGCCATTTCTAGATGCAAACTCAGCAAGTAACCATCCATAACTGTTTCTCCTCTTATCCACAAGATGTATTTGTTTTGTCCTCTGTAGAGGAAGATCAGTCCTGCAGTATTTCCTTATTTATTCAGGAAAAAACATTCCGTGTCTATGTTGTGGGAGAAAAGGAAGTTATGAGGTGAAAAAGAAATTAAAAATATCAATTTTGTAAATATTTCCCTCTGTACTTTATTCTGCTGTTGAGACCACAAGTAAACCCAGCAGCAGCATTTCTCTGGTGATTTTTAGTTTCTGGACTACTAAACCAAGGCTGTTAAAGAAGAACGAGTGTGCCTTAGCTGGACTAAAATACAGATCATTAGCAAGAGCCTCCATGAAAGGGCAGTTGTGATTTGGTTCCAGCAGCTGCAAAAAGCAAAAGTGCTCCAGGTCTGTGCTGCTGCTCAGTCAGGAGGCAAGATCTCCCTGTCACAGGAAAAGTTCTGTCAGGAATGAGGGCCAACAGCAGAGGAGAAGGGCATCAGTCTTTGGCAGTACTGCTCTCCAAGAAGAGACACAGTCAATAAGGGAAATATTTAGCTGTTACAAGCATGCAGCATCTCCTTAGCTTCCCTATCATTCCCTGCAACCTTCTGCCAGGCATGTGTGCTAATAGCCAAAAAAGAGGCTCAGCAGCTCTCCCCCATGGATTATGCCTGTGAAGAATCAGCCACCCCATCCCAAGGCACCCAGGTGAAATTTCATAACTGTGTCCCCAAGTGCTGGCCTGACTCACTGACCCCTTTGAAAAGGAGCAGAGGTGATGACAGTGCCTAGAGTGACTGAGGTTAAACATTGCCTGGCATCTGAATTCTGCTCTCTTGCAGGTAAGGCTGTATTTCAGCAGCAGGCAAGCAGTTTTTATCTCCTCAACCCAACAATTACCACAGGCTTACCAAGACTTGATACTTTTATAGTGTCAGTGATATCTGAACATAAACCACATGCCTGGTCTGCAATGCTACTGCTGCTGTCACTGTATCACATACAGCAACATATTGGTTTTGTCGGGGAGTTTGTAACAGGACAGTGAACTTTGTCTTCAGAAAATGTTACTGTACCTAAAAGACAGAATGACAGGAGTCCCTGCGCTAAACCTGCTCTTTGGTGCCTCCAGCTGTAAGGAATGCAGAGAGCATCCAGCCTTCTCCCAGTGGCTTTTGCTGTGAACTGGGAACCCAGGAAAACTTGGGAGACACTTCTAGGAATTATTATGAAATATTTCTAGTTTGTGTCAAGTTGTGTGACAGGCATTTACCATTAGGTAAATTACCGTAGGTGGAAAGGTATTACTCCATTTGCTTATGTCAAACTTGTCAAAAACAGATGATAAAATTGCTTTGAGTCAAATAAATGTTTTTTTCAAGTTGAAATATTGTTTGTTTAAGTTTGTTGAGTATTTTATTTTTATTCTTAGCTATTATTTCTTTATTTTCTTAGTTATTTTCAGGTTCAGGCTAGATTATTTTCAGACTCCACTCTGGTGCAGGTATATTGACTCAAAACAATTAACGTTTTCTTCAGATTTGCTCTCTATTTCCCAAGCTGATTTTTAAATCTAAAACCCAAATAAGTCTTCCCCAATTGATTCCCAGCTTGCCTGTTTCCTGTGGCAGCACATGAGTGCTTTAGCACTCAATGGTGGGAAAATACAGTCTCCAGTGCATCTCAGCCCCACCCAGTAAAAACATGGGCTAGCTCCAAGAGTGGCAAACAAGCTGTGAAGGCAACTCAAAAACATAGCTCCTCTGCACATCTTATCCAATGAAGGAAGAGTTCCTCTTGGTCCAAAGCCCTTCTGATTGACTATCTTGTTGTTTTATCCAGCTGGGAACCAAAATTGCAAAATGCAGTGAGGAGAAATGCAGATTAACATCAGTGGGCTAAGAGAGTATGGGCAGGTAGAAGCTTCTTTTTTTCTTAGTAGGTAACACTTGCTGGGAATGTGCAGTATTGTTGCATCTATGTATGGCAAATACAGCACAGCAAAGTGAGTAAAATTTTTTATCAAAGGTTAGCAGGTGAGGGATATGAGCTGATGATTGAATTGCATCTACAATTATGGAGAAACCAGAGACTAAACCTCTGATGGTTGGACTCTAAGAGCATGCCACAGAATTAAAAAAAAATATTTTGAGGCCTAGCTGGCTCCACATCTTTTATTTCAGGCCTTAGGTCCTAGAGGTTAATAACCTCTTCAATATTTGCTTCTTTTGGCACTGGTAAAACTGATGCCAGGTAGCAGCCAGCTGTGCAGAACCTGCCCTGGTAAAGAAAGCTCACCCCACAAGGGACAGTATGACCTTGAAGGATCATAATTTGTAATGAACACATTCCATTCTACAGTGTAATGGATATCCTGAAAAAATACCTCCTGCCAAAAAAAAAAAAAAAGAAAAAGTTAAATAATGAAATCATTCTGCTTTGCAGGTCAACATTTTTTACCTATAAAATGCAAATATCACTTGCTAAAAACTAAGAGGGCAAACAGGTTTCCTGGTAGCAGTGAGCTTGCAAGAGAGTGCTTCTTGCTCCCATCATGGGAAAAGCACAACGGTGCTGGGAGTGGACACTTCCAGAAAGCTTTGGCTGTTTGCAGCTCCTTTCAGCTCGGGAAGCCAAGTATTGCCAGAAGGGTTAAAACTAAACTTCCAAAAATAAGCAAGACACTGAGTAGCAGTATCTGAAACTCCAGGAGGAATCCCAGGGACACCTATGCTCAGCAGCCTCTATTAGCAGTAAGTTCTACTTGTTTTCTCAAAGGAGATCTGCCCAGGGGAGTGCTGCTATTGCAATTAGCTACTGTTCATTTGGAGCATCTCCCACCCTTAGGGACCCCAATAATGCAGTTCAACAGAGGGACACAGTAATGGCTGTTTCAACCACAAATACTTTACCAATATTCAGCTGGCAGTCATTTGTATATGGGCAAGGGGACAGAGGAAACATCATTGTGGCTTTGTATTACTGTAGAAGATGTTGTGCTTCCAGTTAATTTAGATGTAAGCAAGAGCTGGTTACTCCTAGAATGGGAGAGCAGCTCTTCCTCTTTTTAAGTCACTGAGTCTTTTAAGATCAAATTCAACTGTCCTGGACATTTGTTCACTGCAGTTTCTTTCAGAGCGAGTCCTCATTGCTGTCAAATGTTGGATTGCTATGGCCTCCCATATTTCCTTCTACTGTTACTGCCACAGAATCTGAGAAGAAGGTTTCATTCAGAGGTGGCCAGGCTGAGTCCTGCTCCAACACACGCTGCAGCCTCTTGTAGTGGCTCTTTGAGTGGTACTGGAATGTCTTTTTCAGAAGCAGCCACAGGGGTCTGTTCTCAATGACTGCTTCCTGTAAAGGTAAAAGCAAAAAGAGGGTTTAAGAGGACCTGGACAGCCATTTACTCTTCATCCAAAGTACAAACATGGGGAGAACAGTGGAGACACAGATCTCCCACCTGCCCTGCTTATCCATGTCCCTTAAACAGTCTTTTATTGATCACATTTCATACCAGCTCCACCAGCGTTCTCCACCAGAGAACTGTGACCAGTTCCTCCTGAGACTCTTCAGGATCTGAGCAGAAAACACCATAGACTACCCATATTTTTCTAACCTGGGGCAGGGTTCCCACTCACCAGAGGAAAGAAAAGGTGGCTATGCCTTGCATTACCTTATCATTCAGATGGAATGCTTTAAGAAAAGGGAGCAAGGGTGAGGTAGCAGCAATTACTCCTGTTTTACTAGATAGTCCCAAATTGAGCTGAGGAGGAGGGAGAAAGAACAAGACTTGACCATTTTATCTCTCCAGTAGTGGTGACCAGCACATCCAAGGATGCACACTCACCTCAACAAGGAAGGACACAGCCAGTGTGACTGCAAGCATTCCCACCATGGAGATTCGCCACGTGGTAGGGGTGCAAACGAGCTGGGGGAAAAGCAGGAGAAGCTATTCAGCAATGAATCTACAGTAAACACTGGTGGGCACTTGTGCAATAGAATACAGAATCGTTTAGGTTGGGAAAAATCCTAAAGGTCGTTAGGACAAACCATAAGCCTGGCACTGCCAAGTCCACTGCAGTGCCACAATTACACTTCTTTTAAATACTTCCAGGGATGATGGCTCAACCACTTCCCTGAGCAGTTTGTTCCAGTCTTTAACCCTTTCAGTTAACAATTTTCCCTAATCTCTAGTCTAAACTTTCCTTGGCACAACCTGAGGCAATCTCCTCTCTCACTTATTACATGGGAGAAAAAAAAAAGTGACCCGCACCTTGCTCCAACCTCCTGTAAGGTAACTGTAGAATTAAGATCACACCTGTGCCTCCTTTTCCTTTTCCTGAGACTGCACAAACACAGCTCCCTCAGCCACTCCTTACATGACTTATGTTCCAGACCTTCAGCAGCTTCATGTCATAAAAGGCTAAACTCTCAAACTGGCTAACGCTGCTGATAAGCTAATACTGCTATTTGTCTTGAGGAATTACTGATAAAGATGCTTTTAAATCTATGATGCAGTAGACAAAACCATTCTTTAGAACTGCAAGAGGAAATCCAACTGCTTTTAACTTTCTAATATTAAGAAATAGTTCAAACGGACTGGCTTTCTTTCTGCTTTTGGAGATGCAGCTCAGATCCACAATTTGGACCAGCAGTTTCTCCAGGGCTAGGCTAGTGCAGAGGTTTTTATTGCTACTCCCTCATTTTCTGTTCTTAGCGATTCCAGTGAATTCCCTCCGGACTTCTTGGGCTGAGAGTTTTGCAGTTCTCCCCAAATGCATTTTTATCCCCTTGCAGCTGCAGTGCTGAAAAGCGTCCTGTGCCACCGCAGTCCACAACAGGACGATGACTTGCTTTAAAGTGCCATCTCGTGGCAGGTTCCCTAACTGGGTTTGCCTGCTGAGACGAGCTCTGATTAATAGTTATCGGCAACAGGGATAAGTGGGCTGTTTGACATTTAAATCCGAGACCTGGACCCTTTGACTATATTTCTTTTTACAAATTCCATTAATCCCATGTCTAAACCGACTTGCTAACTGACATGCAAACATACAGGACTGGAAGGTGCATTATGTTCAGTACTTGTGACTCAAGGCCACTGTTCTGTTTGCAAATGTACAGAAAGAACAGCTGTGTGGTGCATTTCATATTTTGTTCCTGTGACTCCTACAACAAGACTGTGAGAGTGTCACAGTAGAGGAGGTTAACATCTCCCAGCATCAACATACTAATTGTCAGCTCCACTGACAACCCTGTCCTTCAGCTGATGTAGATCTTATCCTGCTCTCACGTTTGCACAAGACAACTCCCAGCCCGCATTCTGCCAGATGACAGAAGTCAAGCCTTATTGGTATTTATTAATCAAGGATCAAGACAGATCCTCTCTTGCCATGGCAGCCCCACTATTCTTTCCCTGCAATTGTTCTAAACCCAGAACCTGCTTTGGGAAACTGCAGGCTACCTAAAATTTAAACGGGGAACCTGAGAAGATTGGGGACTGGAACTAAGAGCTGCTCTGAATGCCAACTGGCAGATTTTGGCAAGAGGGCCTTTGTGCAAAGTAGCACAACTTGAGAAACACAAGAACATGGTGCTTTATTTTAAACTCACAGAGCCCAGCCCTGTTCTGCTCCTGGCTTCACAAGCCACCAATACACCACACATAAGCTTAGTGATGTTATCTTCTGTTGCTTGGACAATGTGCTGAAACAATCAAAATTACAAGTGTGGCTGTCCCACTGAATGCACAGATACATAGTTTGGAGTCACAGTATTTCCAGAAGTTTCTACAATCCCATCATCTAAAATCCACCTCTTTAAATATGATTTGTCTTTAGAGGTGCCATATCTCCCTGCAAAAATCTGTGCCTTTTGTGAAAGTAATCCCAGTGTGCTTATAATGGACTGGCAGTAGGAAGAAAATCCCCTTTGGAACAATACTCACATCCATCTTGGAGTAGAGACCATCAATGTCAGCAAACATCAAGAAGAGGCAAATACCCAGCTGCCCTATGAGCACCAGTATGAACACATCTGAAGGGATAAGAGCAAAGAAAGAAACCCACAGGCTTAGGAGCATTCTCAGCTGTTTGCCTTTATTGTAGAAGATTGTAATAATTTTCTCTGTTACACAGTCATCAAAAGAATCCATGAGATATAAAGGAATTTTCAGCAAGAGAAAATGAACATAATATAACCCCAGCTTTACTAAATCAAGTGGATATACGTGGGTGTGGGACAAGCATTGTAGCCACAGATTTAAAACACCAAATGGGTATTTTGAACAATTGATTTGACCTTCTATATCTGAGAAACTTTATAGCTTTCCAGTGAGTCTCTCTCTGATCACAGTATATTGTGTGATTCAGAAAAATGGCCAGGATATAGTCTTGATCTTCTTAATATGATTAGGAATGCTGCCTTCAATTTCAGTGACGACAAGACTTTGGTCTTGATCAGGATCTAAAGAGTCTAGGTAATGGAGAACCTATTGCCTTCTCCATCTGTAGGTAAATGTTCCAATGATAAGTAAATTAATTTTCTCTTCAGCTGTCATGCACTGAACTTCATCCTCCACCCACTCATTTGTGTTTTGCCTTGTTCTGGGACACTGATGACCCACTTTCCTGCTCTCTACAAGGAATGCCCCCTCTTCACTATTACTATACTGAAACATCAAAGCCATGACACCTGCTGCATTATTTTTACTCTTCAGTAAAAATAATAAAAAAGAGATGAAGAGAGCTTTGTCTAAGAGCATGCTGCAGTAGTTGTCCCAAAGAGAAAAAGAACAGCTCTTCCATGACTCACTGCATTTTCTGGAATTGTCACAAACATATGTGCTCATCTTCCCTTCACACGCAAGCCTCTCTCCTGATTTTTTGGCTGACATAATTTTGGTCAAGTTTAATTTTCCCCTATTAAACTGACCTCCTTATATAAGTTGACTTATTTTTCATTTCTTCTCTCCCCATACTTACAGTTGGTGTAGATGGGTTGCCTGAAAGGCTTTCCCTTGGAAAACACTAGTGCTACAATGAGGCAATTGATGGTACTTAGCAGCCACACTGTGGTGTTTTCATAGCTCTTGAAGCCATTGTCTGTTTGCTCATGAGCTCCATCTCTCACCCCATGGAGGCCCAGGCTGGAGGATGAATTCCTCTCATGGTTGTTCACTGATAGGCAGGCACTGAAAAAGAGTGTCACCCTGCTCAGGGAATGATCATTGTCCTGGGTATCTCCCCCAGCTTCCACTATTCACTATCAGGAATCTTCCCTCACAGCCATGGCATAGGTTATTGGCAATGCCCACAATCTCTCCACTGGTTGAACTTGCTGAACTTGTTAGAGCTTGAGCTCAGACCTGGTCTCTCCTGCAATCAAATCCTCCTCTCTGTGCTCAGCAGAAGCATTCTCCCCACAAGAACTGTGCATGGCAGGTCACTGGGGAGCTTAGGGACCTCAGGCAACACTGGTTAAAGTGTTTGCACCCTGTGGGCAGCACAGGATCTGCTGCAGCTGCTCATCAGGCCTGCATCAGCTGATCAATAGTTTCACACAGACCTGCCCCACTAGGTCAACCCTGTGGTATCCAGAGTCCCAGAGAGGGGTCCTACCTGTGTATATCGGTCTGGGAATACCAAGGCTGCTCCTGGACCACCACAAACCCGAAGATCTGCATGCTGAGGCTGAAGAGGATGTTAAGCACAACAGAGAGCAGCAGTGGGGGTGAGATGAGCTGGCTTGGAGGCCTGTAGGGGACCAGCTTTGGATAGGCACGTGTGAAACTCACTGAAATATGCACAGATGTGTTTACTAGTGTGTCCACAATACAAGCAGTGATGCTGTGTAATACTGACTGGCACTTTTACAGTCTGCAATATTCTTAATAAAACATACAAAGATTGTATCAAGTACAAAAACACAGAATTGTTTTCTTACGAAATCATATTGACACAGAAGAGGTTAATTAATGTCATCTATCATGAGGTATTTTTGAAAAACAAAATGTTGGGTTTTTATTTTATTTGGCTACTATCAGGCCCAAGATTATGATCATATACTTATGCTCTTCTCTTTCTGTCACTTGTTAGCTGTGGCTTGGGATTTTTTTCTGCCATGTTCTGCTCATCCTCCTGAACTAAACATCTAACCAGGTTATTTGAGCTGGAGAAGGACAGCATTACCTGACACAACAGGTTTTCCTCTGCTCTTAAGTTTAACATAATTATCCAGACTTTTACTCAAAGAGTTATGCACAAAGCTTTGATTCAATTGCAGATAAACTACTTACAGCAATGTAGCTTTTGGCACACAGTATTGTTGTGGCTGACCTTTTAGGCTTGATTTCATCAAAGTCTTTTCCTGTTGTCTGTGTTCCAGCAAGGATGGAACATACCAGGATGTGGTTTTGCTATATGCTTCTCATGGCCCTGTCCTTGCCATTCCTACTTCTTTCCCTGCACTTATTCTGTCTCAATAAAATTGTCTTTCTGCCTTAGCACTGGCTTCCCCTCTTATTCTTGGCTTACAGCTCCCTGTTCTGTAATGTCTGACATCTGTCATGTCTTTCTTCTCAATTTTCACCTCTCTTTTCTTTCAGGGCTCGGGTTTACACAGCTTCAAATGTAAACTGATAAAAACTAATCTCTACTTTTTCATTTGGGCATGGAGTCAGATGTCTTCTTAATCTGCCTTGCTAAGTCAACAGGAAACTGCCTCAATAGACTTTCCACTGCACTTGGTGTGGGTTTACTCCTTGGTCCTAAAGATAGCAGCCCAGTTACCAACAACCTACACGCTCAGCAAATGCACCACTAAGTAATTCCCATATTTAGGGCTCTTCTCAAACAAGACCCCTCTTCTAATAATCCAAACATCCTGTATTCTACATAGAGGAAGTTTAGTCTGCAGAAAGCTTGGTCTCCTTTTCTTCCTTTCTCTATCTACAATTATGTATTTCCGAGGAGGAGAAAAGTATTTGAGATCATTCTCTCATTAATACATAGGATGTCTAAGGGGCTTACTTGTCACACCAATTACAGTGGTAATAGCCAGATCTTGGAACAAAAATTGGTAATTCCCAAAGGAGTTTAGTTGCTGAAAAGAGGAAAACAAAGAAAAAAAAATCACAAATCAGACATTTGCCATAGGCATGTTTATATTGTCTCCAGAAAGCCGTATTATATCCATGGAGCTCCTGCTCTGTTTGTTCTGAAATGCTGCTTTGCTGTTTGTTCTGCAATGCTGCTGTGCAGATAAGGAGACCACACCTTTCACCACCCTGCCAATAGGTTCCTCACCATTGGGCCTGCGGTGAATATTCTCATTTTGCACATTGTTTGGACTAACTACACTTTCAGTTCACTCCAGGCAATAAAAGAGAAGAACATTTGAAGAGACTGCTTTCTCACTGCTGGGTTACTTCTGAACACAAAGCCCTCCTCTCCATCTGGGAAAAAGCCATGCAAAAGTGGTTTAAGACACTCCAGGGGATTTGCTTACTGTCACGTTAATTCATGCTTTAAATGCTGAATAAATTGTAACAGCATATGCTTACACCAGATTCTTCCTTTTCACAGACATATGCCCTTATCCAAAACACCATTCAGTATTGCAGCTTTCTTTCTGCCCAGCTTGGATCTCGAGCCCTTTGGCTAAAGTTAATGGGAAGAATCTTGCCAGTTTTCTACTGGAGGGCTGCATGATCACACCACAGAATTTTGCAGCTCAGGTAAAGGTAAATCTCCATCTCCCAGTCTCATGTGGCTTTTATGCCCTATTTCTCCTACAAAGAAATAGAAGCTTATCCACTTCCAGCCAATGTGTTCCCAATACATACCCAGTAAAGCAGGAGAACACCAAGGTACTGAATTATGCTGTACAGCGCCATGTACTTGAACATGCAGAAGGAAGTGACAAGAGCAGCACGGCCTTCCCTGTGTGAAGATATAAGTAAAGTACAGCAATTAGGTGGTGGGTCTGTTCTGATGCCAGTTCTCCCAAAAGGCTGATGAAAAACAAGGCAGTTGTCACAAGAAGAGAGGCCTTTACCAGTTTCTTGCTGTGAGGTGAAATAAATAAAATCTGACCTAAATGAAAGTAAAATCTTCATTTACAGAGAACTTGCCCAATGAAATGGGCTTGATTCCTGTCACCTGTGTTCTGAAGACTCCAATTTACCCCAGCAACTTTTTCTGCTGACATTAAGAGTGTAGGTAGCAAACTCTGTATGAGGAAAAACTTAACAAAGCCAAGCAGCTGCTCATTGAGTTCAGAACTAACAAGTCTTCTCCTCCTACAGTAAGCATACAATATCCAGTCAGGATAATGCTCTCTTCCTGGCTACTCAAATGCCCCAGAAAGGAAAATCAGGATCCTGGCATAATAGATGCCACATTTTACTGGCATAGGGTATCAGAAGTAGAACATAAAATTCATTTACAGGTTGGCTGGCAGACATTTGATTCAGCTTTATGGACCATTGTTCATGTTATCTCTTTTGCATTTAAAATATTTTTGATGACATAAAGCTCAACTGTAAATGTCTTCCTCTTGTGATAGTTAATGTATCTTAAAGGAATTTCAGATAGGGACTAGGCAAATGGCAATTTCAAGGTGAAAGGCTTTTTTAGATATGCATATTGTAACTTGATGGGAACACCCAAGGCTAATGTTTGAGAGGAGTGGGAGCTTCCTTCTTTATGAAATAGGTAAGAAAACCCCATGCTTACCTGATTAGCTCTGGAACACAGGCTATGCTGGGCGTTCGGGATGTGAACGGTGAAGCCACAGATGCCTCCTGCTCCGACAGGGATATCCCTGCATGTGCCACTTTCAAAGCCTGAAAGTCACATTCCTCCTCAGAGCTCACCAGGAAGACACAACAACTTACATGTCAGCCAAGCAGTGACCCCTTATTACAGGAGGTGTTCTGGGACAGCAGTCCCTCTTCACTCCCTGGGTGTGCTCCACCCTGAGGGCTCCTCCAGTGAGATGCCAAGTCCAGGGAAACAATGGGGATGAGAGCATGGGAAAGTTCATTTTCCACAGATCCCACAGCCATCCACTACCTGCTGCAAAAGACTCAAATACTTCAGACTCAACCCAAACTTCTTTGGCTCTGCCTCCTTTTTTTAGCACTTGTTTGTTCCCACACTTTATGCAGTTAGTCTGGGTTCTTTGCTTGCTCCCCCCAGGAGAATCTTCTGGTGGTTTTTGTAAGGAAAATGAACCAGTCTTTGAGATAACAAACTGCAAAAATCTCTGCCTAGGACAGCTCTTGCATGGTAAGGACCACACAGTGAGATCAGGTCTAAATCAATACTGGTGATAGTACAGCTGCTCTGTGAATAAGTGGTACACCCCCATCTCCAGCATGTGCTCAGTTTGGCATATTCTACTGGCATTGCATTAATTTCTCATTTTTAAAATATACTGTAAAAAATTTCCCTTACCCCACAGTCATTGGCTCCATCTCCACACATGCCCACAAAGTAACTAAAAAAAGTGATAAGGCAAATGAGGAATCAGACCCTGCTCCATGCAAGCCATTTATGCAAGTCATACAAGATTTTTGTTAAAAGCCTTTTTAGGAAGTTAAAGCCTGTCTGACCAGACAGCAGTTGAGGTGCTCACAACTGCACACACCAGGTTGATAATCTGAAATGCTCAAATCTAAGGCTCACCTTGCTCTAGGACAAGTCCTGGGGCTAGCTATGTGAAATAAGGGTGAGGTCTTCAAAAGACTTGGGAAACAGCTGAGCAACAGGAAACAAGATGCTTGTGGTTTAGAAATATATCTACCTCTCTCTCTCATTCTCTCTCTATTTATATTTATTTGTGTATTTATTTATTTCTATCACTGTAACTGTGAACAATCCAGACTGTCCTGACACATTTTCTAACCCATCACGTTGAGCCAGCAGTAGCACAGTAAAAAGACAGCAAGCTCAGAGAAGCTGCAGTGCTGGGAGAGATTCTTATAAATCTTGAGGAAACAAGTGTCAATCCTTCAGGCCCAGAGAGAAGTAAAGATGAAGGATGATATGAACAAACAAAATCCAGGACCATGGAAGTATTTGATGTTTGACAGTTTGCCAAACCAGAACTGAGTTCAGTGCCTCTTTTTTAACAGACTTTTGCCAACTTGCAGATGTGTGAGGGTTTCAGTTTTGTGCAGTTCCATGAAACTCTATGCTAAACAAAAGCTAGCTCTTACTAGACTCTTTACAAGCCTTTAAATTCAACAAACACTTTCAAATTCATTAGGAACTTACTCCAGCTTTTGAAATTCTTCTACAAGACTGGATTTCTGACTAGGAGACATTCTAGCAAAAACTGTTCCATTCAGCAAGAGCTGTAAGGAGAAAAATAGGAAATTATTTCTTAAAAAACGTGAAGTAAGTGATTTCAGTAATCATATGAATTTAAATCACCAAATATCACATTTATAAACAACTGATTCTACACTCTGAAAGGAGGGAAAGGCTGATGATCAAAGGTAAAGGAGATCTTAATTAATACTTTGAAAAAGTAACAATGACAATAAGGACAAGAGACCTGGCATGCCATTTGAGTTACCTGATGAACACAGATTTCCAGGCAGGGAGTTATAAGAAGAGAATTTGTGAGAATTCATTATAGTCTGTCCATGGAACAGACAAGCTATGCTGAATTGCACCATGTGTAATATCACATTTTCTCCTGTTTTCAAAAACAGATCAGAGCCAGAGCTATGCAAGGGGTAGGGATTAGGGCACAAATGTTTCAAATCCTGTCCTCACAACTTAAGGTATGCCTGCTCCTCTAATATGCTGAGAAAAATACAGGGATTTTCAGATCCTTCCCCATATGATAATATCAGAGATTCATCCAGCCTATAAGTATTTCAGGGTTATAATTGTTCCCAAAGATGTCCTGATACAGATCTCTTCAGCTAATTGTACCAGGACAATTCATATCTCCTGAATGGCAAGGGTATTCCAGTTACACAATCCAGATCTTACCTTTGGAAGTAAGTGCCTGAAATGGTGTGCTACAATTTGGTAAGATTTTCCACTCATGGCAAAGTGATACTGGCCTGATGCCAATGCCAGCCTGATTCCTGGGTCAGTCTGACTGTCATCCTCCTATAAAATGAGACAGAATGAGTGCTGTGCCCAGGCCCTCAAAAGCTACTCTGCATTTACACAGAAACTACTAGAGACAAAGTAAAGGGCATACTGTGAAGAGAGTACTTCTGAAGGCTCTGGGAAACTTGGATTCAAGACCTATGGCCTTTGCTTGGATTTGTAAAGGGACTGAGGCATATAATGCCAGTAATTTCAGTGTTAACTGGGTTTTCGTTGCATGAGTTCTATCAAACGGATTGTTGCATTTGGTAGAATTCATGCAACAGTGCCAATCTGGTGGGCTGCACTGGAAATGAGAAGGGACTAAAGCCAGCAGATGTGCACCACATCTAAGGAAGTCTTTGGGCAGTGAAACACAGGCAGAAGTTGCTCAGGCTGAGGAACCACTGCAGATATTCCCTGCCATCTGCCTGACTCTGTACTTCCCAGAGAAGGCTCAGCACCTTCACATCAACTCTTCAGGGAGAAAGTAACTAATCTTTTTCCCAGCTTCTCTGTGCAGATGCTTGATGAAATAAATTTCTTAGCCCAGCTTGCCTATGATTCACTGTGTACATGCAATTTCTCAACAGTGGGTCTGTGTTTTAATTCTGCAGGTGTGGGAAGTGCTGACACTCTACCTGCTTGAACAGGGCTGGTTCATTCAATGCAGCTCCACAGATTTTAAGTCCACATCTATCTCATCAAATTTGTCTTGCAAGAAAAGCAAGCATTTAAACTGGCATCAGCTAAGCATGAGGGCTAGAGACAAATCTTTCTGATATTTCTGCAAAGCTGGTCTCAAACCCAGCTAGGCAGTTAGCAAAAATGTGTTCACAGGATAAAATGCTAGGAAGTAAACTCTAGGGGAGCGCATTTTTATAAAGATCCCCTGTCATAAACACTCTTCTAGCACATATTCTGCTGGTGAATGGCAGTTCTCTGTTATACTACCATAATCCCACTCCTTGTTTAAAGCATTCCATCCTAGTTTGTTTTCCTGCTTCTCATATGCTCACCAGGCCTCTGTAATCTTCAATTTTGTTTTCTTCTAGGAATTTCCAGGTTATAGATGCTGAAAAAGATCCAGGCCCTTCATTTGCTTCCACAAGAATCACTCTGTGTGTTGGAGCTATCATGCCAGCATTTTTGGCAACTGTTATAGCTGTCTGAATGTTGTCCCCTACAAAAGTCAAAGGAAGTGTTATCTAAACATTTCTGCAGTGAGGAATTGTTTATTCACTAGCCTGAATTCTAAGTTTTCAAATATATCCAGAATTACTAAAATTTCAGTGTCTGTGCATAAGAAAGTTTTATATAAAGATTAAAACTTTGCAGATAAGGTTTGTCTCAATCAATAAACATATTTTCATTTGAAAAAGAAACATCTTGTTCTGGACATGAAGTATTTTCATATTCAGCACAAAGAAATCCATATGGGGAACGTGCTCCTAGATTATTTGTTTTAAACAAAAACAGTAAGGGGTTCAGTGCTCTGTTGCCGCTGGTATTCTTGGTTCTCTTTGATTGGCTTTGGTGTATGTGGGCTGAAAGGGGTGAGGCCCAAGTGTTTGGACAATGGAAAAACTTTGGGGTTATTTTATCCAAACTCTGGTTTGGATTTGGATAGAATAGCCCTTCAAGAAGAAGAAGAAGAAGAAAAAAGATAGGCAGGCACTGGTAGGCATGAGTTAACAGATGTCAAAAGGTTTGGAGATCTGTCCTGGGAACGCATGCCCCGTTTCTGCTCATTTCAGGAAGCCCTATTAAAAAGGGATCTCGCACAACAAGCCTTTATTAGAATCAGACATGGCCTGGTGAATTTGCCAGGGACAACATGGTTCACCTTATGTCATTTTTAAAACACAGATGCTTCTTGGATTGAATATCCATGCCTTCCAACCAGTGGTGCTGACAACAGAAGACTTTTCACTTAAACATTATTGGACTCCCTGTGTGGGCCAGTGACCACAAAAACAATGCACCTTTTTTAGATACCTGTGACCATAACAGTCCTGATGCAGGCAGCACTGAGCTCTTCCAGAACAGGCTTTGTCTCCCTCTTTAATCGATTCTCCATTATCAGCAGGCCCAGGAATGTCAGATCAGATTCTACCTCCTCCCTAACAGTTAAAGAGAGACAGACAGATTAAATTATTTATTTTCCCTCTATCACCATTGGATTTGGTGATAGCCAGTTATAACTATCAACCATCCCACCTAACTCAAAAGAAATAAAATAATTTGTCTATTTTCTGCAGACCCAGGATGTCTCTGCTTTGTGGAGCTATTTCAATACCAGTAATGCTAATTCAGTACCAGAACCCTGACTTTCCTGCAGGACTCCCAAACTGTGGTGGTCTGATTTGAAAAGTCCCTGCACACTAGACCTTCTCATTTGAGGACTGTACAACAAAGAAACACATCTGAGTTTCTGTGTCTGCTCCTCTTGACAGTAAGACCTAAGCAAACAGCCTGTGGCAATATGTTTTCCCCAATTCCCTCCAATTCTGTTTTCCTCTACATTTTTCTTTTCACCTGTACTATTGCTTTTTTACAGTTGAACATATGTACTTGACAACAGAATTGAGTAGACACCCCACCCCTGAGTCATGAACTAGAGGTCTCTCAAGGACACAGGTCAACTCTGAAGAACCTGAAAAGAAGAAAAGCTTTCAAGCATTTATTTTAGACACCAAGGAGATGCCATTGCATGGTAGTCAGAATAGCTGAGTCAGGTGGTGCCTGAATGGTCACTGCTTTTCACAAGCTTTCTTCTTTCTCTTGGCAGCATAAACATCACACACGCTGTAACTGCATACACAACTGCAAAATCTGGGCCATTTCACACACATTTGCTCGTTGGGTGGAAAGGTCTGTTATGACACCTGTGGCAAGATTTATGTAACCACTTGCAGTCTACCTCAGTACCATCAGCCCTTTCAGCAAAGCAAAAAACACTGTGAAAAAGCAAGTGAGCCTCACCTGGATTAGGACCTGTAGCTAGTAAAGACAGAGGACATCTCAGTACCTCCAGATATTTCAGAAGTGGTGATTCTGGAGTATCACATACAAAAGCAAAAGGCTTTTGGAAAAAACTATATGGATTCAACTGAGAAGTGCTCCTTTGTGAATCACAGTGTGGTATTACAAAACTAATACCACAAGCATAATAGAAGAGTTTGCTAACTTCAATAGAAACTGAACAGGGTAAAACTGAGAAAGCTAAATGAGTGAACTAACAGAACAACAGAAGACACTTTGCTCTGGGCTTTGTGGTTTTCAAAACCCTAACCCTAGGCAGAGCAGTAAAAGCACCCTTGGGCTGAGGCTGGTTCCAAGGAGAAAGCTGTGGAAGAAGCCAGGTCTTGGCAGCTCTGTGTTCCCCTTGGCATGCCTTTCCCTGCCTTTGACTGAGCTGGAGATCACTACTGGGGGTCATCTACTTTCTTTGCTGAATTGAAGAGTGTAGGTAAGAAAAAAAATTTTTAAATACTTCTCTTCAGTTGAAAACATGGGTAAATCTGCAAGGAGACCAGTGCAAATGATGGAATGAAGAGGGGGCATGTGCTAGTGTTCAGAGTGTTATAGGCTTATGCTTCCTATGTTAATTCAGAGTTTTGAAATTGAATAAATACGTAAGGATTCTGTGCATGTGCCATAGGAGTGCCCTCTATCTTGTCCCAGGCCTATATCCAGATTTAAATCAGATTCCCACTGGCCTGAATCTAACAAAACTCTGTATTATGACTCTACTCTTGGCAGGGGTGCTGTGGTGATGGTGCTCTGTGAGGCACCCCTGGCCCATGACTGAACGTGGCCAGGAGCGGTGTTTTTCATGTTTACCTTGTTAGAGCAGCAGGTGGCTTCCCTGCCTGCAGAGATTTACAGGCCAGGCCAATGACTCGAAAGCCCTGGGCTGTGTAGAGCAGGAGCTTGCTTTCAAAGTTCGATGGGACTGTGCAAAAGAGGAAAACACCGTTTATCACAACATTGAACTGCTTTCTAATGAAAGGAAGCCTTGTAGCATGGAAGGTTTATGTCCCAGAGGACCTGTAAACCTAGAGTCTACCAATAATAGGCCAAGCATGTAAGAAGGGAGTTTTTGTTCAAAGAAAGGAAATTTTGTTCAATAAGAAAATCTTTGCCTCTCCTTTATCACTTGGAACTTTGGTCCTAAACTGCAAAGACCTACCTTCTTCCAGGGTGTCATGAAGGGTATCTGCTTCTCTAGATGCCTTTCCAAGATTTGGAGAAAAAAACCTCACTTTTTTGAGGGAGGCGGAGCTGTAGACAACTTTTCCAAATATCTATTCTGACAGGGAGTGTACATCTTGTATAGGAGTTAGTAGTTACTTTTATCTCTTATCTCTCTCAAAATCCTTCTTTGTTGAGAAGGGCTGTGTGAGAGATTAGCCTTAGACTTGGAAGACAACAGAGACACTTTTCAGGTTTTAGTATAAAGCCTTAGACAGACATCTCATTTTGGCCTTCCATTTCATTGCACCATCCAAAGTCACTTATACATATCTTTTTTCTAGGATGCATTTATAAATGTTTGTTACCTGTTTCTGCTCTGCACAGCATGGCCACTGTTTCAGGAGCCCCTTTTGTGAAGGCCTGTGTGTCCCCACCAATTTCCTGGGCAATGACAGACATTCTTTGCAAGGCTGAGGAAAATGGGAACTGATGTAAAATGGTAATTCCTTCCACAGGGGCCTAGGAGAAAAGCAAATGGATTACATACTCTAGCAAGGATTTTAAACTCAGACTGAAGGATTTTAGGTCTGTCCTTTGGGCCATAGTAAGAAGCCAACCATGTGTAATGGGCCAATTTGTCACACTTAGAAATGACTGGTACATAAAGATGAGATTAAATTTGTGCAGAAATATTTAGCTTAAGCAGTAGGAAAAGTTTGTTGACAATTTTAGCAGACTACAAAATGTAATTTACTGAAAGGAATTTACTAGTCCTGTTTCTTTAATAAGACTCTGTTAGGTCTCACACTGGTCTTGCAAACGGAAAATGGTTGTCAGAGAGTGTCCCACCAGTGTTTGTCACCAGTAAGGGTCTGACATCAGCCAGCAGACTCCACTGCATTCCCCACTCAGCTGAGTTCAGAGTGAGTCTCAAGCCATGAGGACAGGCACATCCCTGAGCTGGACAATCTCTAATCCAGCATCCCCCTGTTTCTGGTGTGAGCAGCAAGCTCCCCCAGGCGTCTGTAATCAGATAGAGCAAGGCACTCTCTCTGCAGGCAGTACAGGAAAGACAAAGTGCGGAAGAGCTCTCTTGGACAAGGACACCCAATCTTTCCTATACTATGCTGAAAGGTAAGCCTTACACTGACAGTCTAACTTGATCATGGATGTGACTCTTGCAAGTAACTTACAGTGGTGGCTTGAAGTCCAGGTCTAACAACAGTGGCATGTGTGGATTCTTGATCTTCATTCTGATGTCTGCTGGAATCATCTATCACCTGTGTATTGAAAAACAAAAATATTTCAGACTGAAACACCAGTACAGCAGAAAGGAACCTCAAGGATCCATTTAGAGCTTTTCCTTGTCTCTAAATAAGGTATCTTATTCATTCCTGGGAGGGGTCTGTCTAATGTCAAACTAAACACTTCCAATAATGGAAAATTCACAGCCTCTCTTAGCAATCGAGTAGAAAGCCTCACTGGGTTCACTAAGACACTGCTGTACCCTTGCACAGCAAATAGACAATGTCCTCTCACAGACAATAAATCCTTTATTCATTACAACAGAATTAAATAAAGGAAAATTTTTAGATATAGCATAGACTCAATGAGAAAATAATACACAAGGATTTGTATTAATGTAGAAAGCTCTGCTCTTGAAATATTCCACAAATCATCTGGATATTTTATCATCACAGCATGATTGTGAGGAACAAAAATATTTTTTTCATTTCAAAAGAAACTCAATTATTCCTGTTTCACAGGACTTATTTAACAGAATTCCTGAGTTTTTCATAGCTTTGACAGGTGTCTGGCTAAACCTGAGATGGCAAGGTGATCTCCCCACTGTTTGCATAACAATAAATCACCACTTTACCCAGTTGGTAGCCTCGAACATTTTCACATCCAGTGGGTCTCCTTGGATCTTGCCTTCCCAAACAATTAATGAATGACAAACTGCCAGTGCTTTGAACACTGGGCCCCAAGGCAGGCCGTGATCTGCAGGGAAACTGTGAATATTCTGAAAGCTAAAGCAAAAGAGAGCATAAAAGTTACTCCCAGAGAACACCAAACAACAAAAGACTAATGGAAAAAAAATCCTAAATTGGGGGCTGTTAAAATCTCATCCTGAGTCCAAACCACACGGATGTTCTGGGGACTTTTCTCCCACATGAACTGCTTTTCATGCACCTATAAAGGCTGGGATACACATGCTCAAACCAGGTGTGTGATGCTAGTTAGAGAATCCAATGGGATGGAGAGAGGAACAGATTATTATAAAATATCTTCCTTGAGGCTTGTGCAAAGATTCTTTGAGTTCTGAAGCTGATACAAATTTGAGCAAGTCTATGTATGCACATTTCTGGAAATGTAAATGGGCAACATCATGGCCACTGAAAGAACAGAGTATCAATCTTGTGGGTAAGAGTGACTTCCTGTCATAAAGGGTTGGGGTTACACTGCAGTTTGAGATCTAACCCAGGTTTTCAACTGAACACTGCCCAGACCTGCTGCACCAAATGCTGGCAACAGTGGCTGTATCTTTTCATCTGGAGCAGGACCCCTGGGATAAGGCAAACAATGCATTTTCCAGAGGATACAGAAATAAAATTTAAAATCTAAACATGGGGAACTTCAGCTGCTTAACTGTTTAACAATAACTGTCTTCCAAATTTGGTCCTTTGTCTAGTAGAAGAATCTAATCACTAACCAAATTTAGAAGCCATTGGCGTGTCAAGGAGCCTTACCAGTTTCTTTCAGAGGGCAGCAAGCCCCAAAGATCCAGGCCATCTTCTGTTAAGGTGCCAGTCTAAGTTAAAATGTATATTAAAATTAACTTCCCACATAAGAGCTCCAATAGAAATGAAAAACAAGAATTATTTTAAGAAGTTACTGTCCAAAAAATACCAGCATGGTGCAGAGAAAAAGTGCTACCAGACAATTCCTAGATTACAAGAAAAACAAGAAATTGCCACAGCTTCTGTTCAGACAAGAACTGAAGTACACAGCACTGGTCATTTTGTTTCTAAAATACAATAGAAATGCTCATCAAACCCCAGCCTCCCACTCCCAGCAAAGCTCCATCACCAATGAGGGCATAACCACCACACAGCCATTACTTTGTCAAAGCAGACAAGGTTCAGCTGCCCACACACGTTGATCCTCTGTGGGCTGATGCAAAAGATGCCCTTTTTCTTCAACCTCTGCTGGGTATAAATGATTCCTGTTGTCAAGGCAGCTGGCAGAGCTGGTGGGACAGCAATAGTGATAACATCCAAAGCCTTCTTCACCACTTCTCCTGTCTCCTCCTGACATAATAACAAGGACAGTTATCAGGAAGAGAGTGGCAAGAAGCACTGCTTGCACTGAGCCCACTTCACTGCTCCTCCCTCCTCTGCAGGTGCTCCAGGCTATGCTGTTTTCTGCCCGTGGTTCACCACATATTCATCTCCATAAGAAATTAATAGGCTTGATTTAACCAGAGGCTTTAAAGCCTCATCACTGCTAAAGAGCAGCCTCCAGGCCTTCATCCATTCTCTATGCAAACAAACCTGCCAGGTTCACAGCCTCCTCCAAAACACATGTGTTCAAACATGCCAGCTAGATCATTGCACCCGCAGTCAAACCTATTTTCCCATGACACAGCACACAGGAATCTGCTATTTATATGGGCATTTGTCCAAATGCCTATAGGCACAGCTCTGGATTCCATGTTAAGGTGACAGGTGAGACATATGGGATGGTGCTGAAAACGAGGGCAGAATGTATGAGCTAATGATTTCTTCTGACCTTATGTTCTAGGAGTTGTGAAAGGAAATTGCTTTTACCTGCAGGAAGAGGAATGGAAGTAACAGTTACCTTTGTAAAAGCAATCTATAATTTGGGAGCTTAGAAGTCAATGTAAAAGCGACTGCCAGGATGCTGAGTGTGGACACCGTTATTCTGGGCAGCTGATATGAATGCTAAAGAATTGAATGCTTTTCAAATTGGGGTCCCAGGACTGAGACACTGCAAACTAAAGCAAATTTGCAGTTCAGAAGTACTTGCAAACCATCATAGAGATCTACTATTGCTACTTCTGAGTTTGGGACTTTGACCACAAATCATGCTGCATTTGATGCACTGAATTTCTCTCATGTTCAGGTTCTCCCTTCATTGATATTGTCTCAGACCACAGAACACACCAGTTTGATCATATTTTGTATCTATTTTATGTTAGAAGGAAGTACTTACCACTCACCTTATATAAACCCTCACAAAAGAGAAAGCATTTAGTACATCCTGTGATTCAGTCTTAAAACATTGACAAGACAATTTCAGCAACTGAGATAGCATCAGCATGTATTTTACATATTACAATGGGGAAGTTAAATTAAAAAAAAAAAAGGAAAAACTGCAAAGCAGACACAAGAATATGTTCTTAAACATACTTTGTTTGATATCCTAAGGGGAAATAATCTTCTGAGCCAACTGATTGTAGATTATGCCTCAGGAGAAAAATTATTCAAAAGCTGAATTACAGAATCAACCTTACAACTCATGACTTGGACTTTACATTGGCAGATAATTACCATGGCATGAAATGACTTCTTGAAAGCTTCTGAAAAAGTTCTAAATCAATTAGGCTTTAAAATTTCCAGAACTACTGTTTACAGTGTATAACTGTTCTCCCATTGACTTTGATGCATGAGAATGAGTGAACTATTTTAAAAGGGTTTCAGGTGAACCATTTCTCCTGCATTAATAACTCACCCCATTAAGTGCAAATACACACACTGTGTAGATCATTCCAATGGCTGCTAATGCTATGAGGCACATCAGGAACCACATGGCATCCCTGTACAGCTTGAAGTTCATGGGTTTAGGGTACAGAATGGATCTCACCAGATCCCCCTTGGCTGTGTTGAAACCTGGAAAGACAAATCATTCCAAGGGGAAAATATTTATTTTAATTCTCTGCAAAGAATGGGGGGCTTCAAAATTATTCATAATTTCTGCAATTTATGAAAGAAGGCCCAGGTGTTTCATTTTAGTGTATGTGACCTTAGAAAGGAGTTATTTTTGTCTTAGCGGGGGAAGGATTTTTTTCCTATCTTCCTTACGGGGAAGGATTTTTTCAATGTCTTAGAAGCAAAGCAAAATTCTTCTTTGTAATCATATGCTGGCAGTTTTTTAGAAGTTACGCCAAGCAAAAAGAAACAAAGCATAATAACTTAGCCTAGCCCAGGATAATGATTCTCCATCTGTCTGTTGTAAATATGGATTAGTGCCTTTAACTTAATGTGATTTGATACTTTGTCAGACTGTTCCAGTGGAAAAAATCATGGAAGGAAAAGTCAACTCAAGTTTTGACTGACCAGTCTGCAGCACCACAGCTTTCACTACTCCTCTGTCATCTGCCTTGGTCTGGATGACCTCTGTTCCACAGAAGAGGACATGTTTTCTGTAATCCTCTGCACAGTACACTCTCCAGGGCTTCAAATTATCAGCTTGTGGTAGGTGGATCTTTGTTACAGGAATACTTTCTCCTAGGGAAGATTAGTTCAGATGAGGAAAACTGCAGTACACTTAATAACAGCCTGCTGACTTTCAAATAAGTACCCAGACATCTAGATGGTAAGTTAAAGGTATTCACTAGAGAAACCAGTTCACAGAAATTTTATTTTTATATTTTGACATCTTCAGAGTGAATAGAGCTTAAAGCCTAGGAAATGAACAGACTGCTACAGAAGAGTTTTCCTCTGCATCAGTACAGCTTAACTTCAGTAAGTCTGAGAACTGAAAGCAGTCCAAGGACTCCAAACCCTGGCTGTAGATGTAGAGGCTTGAAAAGAGGCCTGAACTTGTGTTGCATGACTACCTTTGAATGGCCACAAGTTGTTCACCTAATTTGAACCTCATGTGCAGGTCACTACACATTCCCTCAAGCAGATGGGAACATGATATCCCCTATTCTCCCTCTCTAGTAAAAGGAGAGCCTTTAGCTCAGTGCTTGACAGGTGACAAATATCCTATTTATGTCAAAGCAGGCAGTAAGGTGAAGAAGAAATATTTTGTGACAGCTGAAGTTTTTTAAATTAAATGTGTTTCTGGAATTTCTCATTTATATGAAATTTCAGAACTGTCAGTTTCAGTTTGATTCAGACCAAGACCAAATTTAAAGACAAGAAATGGAACTGTGACCTCCTCCTGCACCAAAAAATCCTGCTTTCCAGTAACCTCTCCCATCTGGTGTGTCCTCCACTGCTATCACAGGAATGTGAGACTAAGTGTCTGGAGGGCTAAACAGACACTCCACAGGAGATGTTGCAGCAATGAGACATCCAGTAAGTGACAGAAACCCCTGCAGCCAGAGTGGACCGTGGGCCCTGTGTAGGAACAACTTTGCTTCATATCCATTTTCTTCTCCTGTCCTGCTCACTCCTCTTCACTGTCCACTCTTTCTCTTCTAATCAGATCACCTCTTCCTAAATGCTTCCCATGAAGGTAGGAAATGATAAATTGCCCTTCCTTAAGTCTTTAGACAATTAACAACAATTCAGTCTCTATTATATGGAACCAAAGGATCCTCTTCTCAGCCAGCTACGGACTGTCTCACAGATAGGGGTGTGCACGATAACTCTGTCTGTCCTGTGTCACTGGCTGAAGACATGGGGCAATGATGGTGTTCAGGTGGCAAACCTGAGAGGGATGGCTGTACCTGTCAGCATGCTTTCATTTACAGTGCACTGCCCGCTGACCAGGATGGCATCACAAGGCAAAAGGGTTTTGCCCTCTTTCAAAATCAGCAAATCTCCAGGAACAAGATAGTGTGATTCCAACTCTTGGAAACCTGAAAATGAAAAGTAGTGCAAACTTTGTGCTTCATATATTTTTCTGTAGCAAGGGGGAAAATACAAGGAACTAATTGCTAAATAGAATTCTTTGTAATGGCTGATAAACAAAGGAGCACAGTAGCACCAATGTATACAACCTCCAATATTTAAGAAATGCCTAGGCATCAGTTCCAATTGTAGAATTTCTCCTTATCTACCCAGGATCCCAACCACTGGTTACTATTCCACTTCACTGACCTAACTGAAAAGCCTTGGATCTAAATTTCTTTATTTGACTTCATCTCTTTGGATTGTGCTCTAGATACCTTTACAATGAACAGACTTTGCATGGAGCAATTAGGTGGACTCACAGCCATTTAATGGGTATGTTGTTGGCTATGTCAGCACTGCTTTAAGAAAAATTACTTCGTTTTCCTGACAATTTTCATCTAAGGCTGCACTCACGTATTAATATGTTTGATATGCCACAACGCATTTCCAACTCAAATTAACTCTATGTGCAGAAGTGAGTTAACTGAGCTGAGAAACAGATGAAAACCACGTTAGAATAAATCTGTTACTATACATGCTTTATGTAAATTGCTATAGAAACAAAGCACATTATAAAAAAGAAGTAAAGAGGAGTCACCTTCCTTATTTCTGCAGACAGTGACCATGATGCTGTTATGAGACTCAACCAGTTTGTGCAGTTTAATGGATTGCTATAAATTAAAGAAGAACAAACAAAATGTTACATCTTACTTACATGATGCAATTTGTCCACTAACAATCACTTCCTTCTGTTATTTGTGGTTATGAGAGCCTTCAGAAACTGGGCTCCAGCCCTACCAGGAACTATATCACCAGAGAGAAAGAAATCCCCCACCCTAATTACAGAGACTGTAACAAAGTGTTCCCAGGTGAAGCACTGGAATGGGGAAGGGAGGATGTGGGTAAGGTACCACACAGAGATTATGATGACTAGGAGGCCAGGCCATTGCACCTGCTGCTACACAATGTCACAAGACTAAACCTCTGAGTAAGTCTTATAGCTCTGTGTGCATGTTGTAGCATGCTGGCCTGTCCCAGACATTAAAAGTAAATCTGCCTTGTGGAAAATGTGAGGTGTCTCACCTTTCTAAGATCATATACAGTCAAAAATATTGAGAGGAGAGACATGAATATGATGGCAATGGCATACTCCATGTAATCTTCAGCAAACCACAGACACACACTGAACAGCTGGAACACGTAAAACGGATTTAGGACCTGTTTGGAGAGACAGCAGTGGTAAAGAGCTGGCCACATTTAAATGGCCCAAATATACTCAGACAGTCCAACCTGTTAGAAAACATCTGGAATAAAAGACATTAAGTATTGTGACTTCTGACTCCCTTAGTAATTTTCTCAGCAGTCACTTTAGTCTAATCAGATTGGACCATCTTCAAGTGACCGAAGGGACAAATAATATGGACCAATAGGATATTACTTGGAATGTGAATGACTCAGTCCCATCCTTGTTTTGTTTACTTCTTACAAGAAATGTAACAAAGGTGAGAGAAGAGCAGATTGTGCTGTGAGCATGGAGCTCACATACCATAAGCACACTGCCACAAACATCCTGTTTAGGCCACCTATAGGTTTGTTTGAAAGAGATATTGGTGCTATGTGTGGTGCTGTGCCCAAAATTATGAGCTCATTGGAGCTCTCTGCAGCTATAGGTATGTACCAGGTACTGCTGTTCACTTAACCTCTGTTAATTAAGAGACAGCCATTGTCTGGAAGGTTTGATCTCCAGTGCAGCTTGGAAACCTCCAATGGCCCCCAGAAGGCAAACAGAATGAGCTCCCAGGACACCGATACATAGAAATACCAAGCAGACACACAGGTAAGGAGATGGAGGATAGGAAAAAGGGAGAATGAAGGAATTTATGATGATTTAATAGAACAGCTTTCAACAGGATTTGAAAAAGAAATGTGTTTGAAGAGTGAGTAGTGGGAAGTTAAATCAGATATAGAATCAATTATATGCACATATGGCCTCCCAAGCAGCTTAGAATAAAAGTAACAGAAATGCTTTACCTCTTTGATGAGTAGCTTCCAAATAGGGATCACTGGAACATCAATAGTGTTTGGCCCACAAATAACTCTCCTGTATGGGATAAAGATGCATCACTTACAGATAAAATAATGACACTGTCACTTGCTCCAAAAAATACAGATTTCAGTAGTCCTGAGAGCAACTTATGATCCCAGTTTAAAGGCTGGGAGGATATTTTTTCAAGAAAAGAAATTTAAATGTCCCTACAGTGCTTACATCAGAAAAGATGGCTGTACCAGTGACATTTACTTATGCACACAAGAAGTGCAACACAACCTATTAGGCAAATGTTTCCATCATACATCTGATTACTTTGAGAGATGATAAACAAAGGAATTCTGCATCTAAAACTAAATGATCCAAACCCAAATAATTTTGCAAAAAGTTAAGAATTATTGGAATGTAAGATTTGACATGAGCTAAGGTCAGGAGCTGAATTACAGTATTCAATCAACTGAAGATTATTTATTTCTCTATTTCATAAATACATGTTCTGTAACTTGCTTAATAATACAGTAGTTTATGAGAATAAGTTCAATGACTAGAACTAGTTGATTTGGAGCTCCAGTGAAGAAGCAAACACACAACTTATCTGCACTCTTCCACAGAGACTTTCTCTTACTCCAAATAAGAAGTGCTTAAAGTTAGTTACAGGACACAATTATTCCTGATTGAGAACAATAACAAAGATGAATACTGAGACACTTCAAAAACTTTGACAAGGAATAAACAACATTCTCTAGCCCTTTTCATTCAATATTTCCATGCACAACTGTTTCATCTAAAATTACGTGCATATTAATAAATACACAAAAAACTTGTGGGAAGTGCACCAACAGATCAAATTTACATATCTTTGAAATCCATATGTTGAGTGTTCACATTTTACAATGATTACCTGACATTTTGTTCATTGCAGGTGAGACCAGAACCAAATTTATCATGTATAGCTGAGCAAGTGTAGTGATCTTCTAGGACTCTAAAATAGAAAGGGAGTACGTTCCTTAGGATGTTATTCACAAAGACACTTCACTTCTTCAGAGACTTGTGCAACCAGTGCAGTGAACTCACCCAACTTTCTGGAACTGTTTTGCATAGTCATTCCAGACATAGCGGATTTTTTGCACTTGGATAGTTTTTACCTGGAAAACAAGACAGGGACAACAAAGCATGCAACACAGGAAATAAAAATATTCTGAGACTTGATCACAGAGCTCATATAGGCATCCTCACTGGGGTCAAGTACAGATCAGGGAAATTTTAACGGGGCAAGGATGGAGAGAAGACAGGATTGCATTCACTGACACCCTGGATGAATTATAGATTGGGATCCCAAATCTATAAATGGGGAACAGTGCAGGTTCCAAAAGGCTTTACAGATCTTTAGGTCAAGCAAGTACAAAGCAGTTTTCTTTCTGAAAAAAGGAATAATCTTCACTCTGATCTCACAGAATGCATGTAAGAGATCACTGATGCCATGGTGCCTACACAAGCAGCTGAAAAAGCCAACAGCTTTCTTGTCTTCTGTCTAGTTTTGGGGAAAGCAGGGGGCTTTGGGCTATTTCCAAGCATGATGCTGAGTCTTTCAGCTAAACAGATGTGCCAACAGACAAGAAAGGCCATCCCAGGATACTGAGTCACTGCTAATGCTAAGCCCTTGCAGAGCAGTTATCCATTAGGAACACACGCTGTCATTTATAACTTGCAAGAGGAGTCTGTCCTGTCTAGCACAACAATAACAAAGCCTATTAGAGATAATGGCATGTACTATCAGCTGGTAGAAGGCAGGGATATACACCTGTACACATGAGTGATAAAGAAATCAGCTCCAGGGAACTCTCCCTGCCCAGAGCAATAAGCATTATTATAGGCCAATGAAATCTAGACTCAGCTCATCCACCAACTCAAAATGGAGCTATAACCACAGTCATTAACTTAACAAGAGGTCTGAAGTTAGGATTTTATGCAATAGGAGCTGCAATATCTGCAATGCTAAAGTCTGGAGTGGAAGCAAGGGACTCAGCTCCCTGTCGGAAGAGGTCCTTGGACAGCTCTTGGGCACTATAGAACACTGTGCACTCAGGTAGCTTAAATGGAAAAAACACTTTGAAATTGAATTATAAGCAGGGGCTTTTGAATTGCTAGGGAAGGGACAAATTGTTCTCTCTTTGCTGCCTTGAAATCTGGTCCTTTCTATCTAGATGTTTTGATTGATATGAAAGTGGTGTTCAAAGGCCCTATTATTTGAGGCTATATTTGGCGGTTTTTTGTTACTAATTTGATCCTCAAAAGAATGTTACAGACCTGTCTCCACTTTTTTCATATTGTGCCAGTTGATTAAATTAGTTGGCACTAAACTTTCCTATGTACATTAATATATGTCCACAGTAGAAGTAGCAATAGCTTTGCTCAGCTCAAGTTAGGTTCATATTGAAAATATTTACTTAAAATTGTTGTAGATATAAAAAGTAATTATAGTAAGTCAGAAATTTCTTTTCTGAAAGGGAAAATAGCTCTTTTCTGGATTCCTCAGTGCAGTGTTCTAGTATCTGTAACCAAGAGCCAGATTTAGCAAATGTATCATTTTGCATTCCTATTGCTCACACAAACTTAACATGTAATGCTAAACAAGGCACATGGCTGAACTGTCTGGTACATGTTTTAGACATGGGTTAATTACATTGGATCAATCCATCATCTACCTTCTCCCCAATGTCTCACTGGGATCTCAAATCTATGGGACTGGCAGAGACCAGGATACATTTTTGCAAGAACTGTTAACAGTGACTCCTGTTAACCCGACTCCAGCAAATGCACTTTCAAGAAGAAATTGATGCATACAAAGACAAAGAAGCAAAATGTGTCAATGAAACTTTTCTGGAAATACTGATCCAGCTCAGGCACTTTTCTGTTCTATTCCCTATCTGCATTAATCCCTGTTTACATGTTACTGGGGCAGCTGCATTCAGTTCTGCACAGTCTCCTTTCAGACACACAGTCACCTCTAAATTCCCTGATTCCTATGCCAAGAGTGGTTTTTTTTTAATTTTTGAACTGATTCTCCGCTGCAAACCCCAGTCTCCTGAAGCTCTCCTACTTATAACATAGGTTTTCTCTCATGAGAATTTCTCAAATGAGAATTCTCATTTCAAAACCCCTGTCAGAATAAGACTTTTTCAGAGGTGAGTACAGTTGAATACAGCTCTTTTCTTTTTCCACAGCTCATTGTGTTCCTCAAGCTGCAAGATTCTTAGCTGCATATGTTTCACAGTTACTTTTACTCCATGAAGCATGGCTGAGATTTGCCATCATCTCCCAGATGCTGCACAGAATACTTTACTTACTAGCAAACTTGGCTTCATTACAGCTTTGCTGAAGATTGAGTCTTCCTCAGTGGCTGGATAGTCTGATCTGCTTTTGATAAATGCAGACACAGAGATCCAAGTCACAGTCTTATGAGAATAAGTCCGAAAATCATCCTAAGTGGGTATAGAAGAGAAATGTCACAATTTGCCCCAAACACTGACCAAATTCACTTTCACCTTGGAGTTAATGATTACAGCAGCCTTTCTAGAGTATACTACTCTGGCTTTTTTTAAGGATTAGCCAACAGAAGCCTCCCAACACTTGTGATTTAGAGAAAAATCATTAGAATAGGAACAGAACCACTGTCCTGTCAAAATGCGAGTACTGCAAACACTTCAGTGACCACAGGTCTGGTATGTGGCTGATAAGGATGGAATGTGAACACCCAGGTCAAGATCTAGGGCAGGCAAACAGCAGGGCAATCTGAGATGCAGTGACCATGCTGTAAAGGGAAGATCAAAAGGAACACAGTGCTGTGCTGCAAAATGGATGTTCAGTGCCAGTGCCTTTACAGCCACTCCTGAGTTAACACTTCATTGGAAGTGTCAACACTTATGGCACCTTAGACAAGCTTTTACCACAAACTGTGTTCATGACCTTCCCTTTCTTAATAAAGCAAGTTGAACATTAGAACTGCCTGATGACAAGCGTTGGTAGTACACTCTGAGAGATTAGAGGAACTACTGTATTGAGCAGCCTCATGCTAAGTTTCAGTCCCAAACACTGAACTACATGCATTAAGGCCAACCATGAGACTGACTTACATTCTGTGTGTGAGCAGTTTTGCAGTTATGAAACTTTAATTGGAAAAGGGAAGAGTAAAAAAGATTTCTGTACCAAATATGAGCCCTTTGGAACAATTTAATTGTTAAAAAAAGAACTTTGATAATGTTTATATATCTTATTTCCCCGCTTTTCTTCTTAAACTGGTCTTTTGAGTAGAATAACATTTATTTTCTGATATTTATCTTGAATTTAGATTTCAGAATGAGTAGACATTGGGATTCAGATCGAGATGGGAACCAGTGAATAACACAGGTGCTCATCATTTGAACTAAAGTGAATCAAAATTCAATAACCAAAGAGAGTTAATAGGCTCTTATATTGCAAATGCAGAGATAATGATGACTTAAGAATTAAGGTTTTATGTGAAGCAAAAGATAATTCCAAGGATCAAGCTGATGAGATTACTTGTATCCTCATTAGCAGTAGCCATCACATTTGAGAACTGATGTAATCATAATGTAGCACAACAAAACAAAATTATCATTTTAACACAAATTATTATGAAGGAAATCTTAAATTTTCAAACACTTAGAGCACATTTGAGAAAGCTTCTTGATAACAAGAACATACAATATGATTCAATTCCTGTTTAATTACACAAAGGATCATTTAAAAACTCATTTATTTGAAAAGTGCTTGGCATGGCACATCTTTTTAAAATTACACACAAGAATAGGTAATTAAAAATGCAAACTGAATTGAAGATTAAGAAGGGATATTAAGCCTAATATGATGTTTTTAATAAAAGAAAAAACATACTCCCAGACTATTAGAATGCAGATTGTTTCATTATAAAGTATTCAACAAGCAGATCTGTGATTTTCAAAACCTGGGGTTTTAACTACATGCTGCTGTGCTAGTTTAAGAAGGCAGCTCAAACACAGAGGCAGTAAGTGATCCGTTTTGCAATTGCAAACATTGAAAATGCCATTGTTCAGAAATCTTTGAAGCAGAACAAATCAAATTTCTGGAAGTAAACCAACTCTGCCAGCTCCTGCAGTACTCAGGCTCAGCTGGTATTCAGACCCAAGCCTCAGTTTATTTCTTTAGTGTTGCAGTAGCTTCCATGAAATAAAACCAAGGGTTTGCATATGTTGCAGTGCTTCAGTACAGCCCTCAACAGCAGTGACCTGTATCAGGAAGCTACAGCAAAATATGCCAGCTCTGAAAGCATTAACTGCAGGATTGCAAGCTTATTGGACATGGGGAAAGGCTGATGGGAAATAGAAACACAGAGCCAAGAAAACAATCAGTCAGTGTAGGCTTGGCCTCTTCTGTGTAGTTCTGTATCCCTCATGACACACTTGGACACTGCTGGGACTCTGCTAGACAAATCTTTAATTTGGCCCAGTAGATCAATTTGGCAGAGAGGGACATCTTTGCCAGAACAGCCAAGTGAGGGAAACGGGACCTGCTGGATACTGCCAAACAAACAGATTCTTTAGAATCTGGAGCACAAGGCTACAAAGTAGAAAGCACAGGGATGATAGAAGGGAGGAGGAAGGACTGAGAACAGTCTTGAAACCACAGATATTACAGGTTTTATCAGCCCAATGTCTTTCACCTTGTCTGATCAGCTGTTACACTCCATTCCCATCATCATCATACACATAATTTGTGGGATATTTTGAATTTCTTAGATCAACAATGGTGCATATAAGATATTATTGCAGGAAACCAGCAATGTAAGAGATTTCAGCCAACTGGATACCTTACAGTTAACTCACCTTCCAAATAGCCACCTACTAGGGACTAATTAAAAGATTAAAGTAGGCACCTACCGTTGTTCTAAGCAGAACAATATCGGCTTCTTCCAAGCTGCATCGGATGCAGTTTATCCACACATCCCACTCTGGCTTCCAGTAAAACAGCAGCCTCAGAGCCCCACAGGACAAGATGTACCCAGCAATGCACAAGGCCCTTCGGCAGCCTTGAGTTTTGTAGCCAAATATCTCCTGTACAGCAAAAAGAAGACAAAAATTATTACTATTTCTCCTAAAGAAATGCCTGGAATACTTCACCTTCCTGTTACTCCCTGCTCAGCCACAGCTACTGTTAGGTATGGTACTGTGAAAAACAAGCCATAGAACTTGTATTTGGCTACTTTAGGTATCCTAAGCATGATTACCAAAAATTTGCATCTTCAAGAGACTTTTCATCCACATTCCCAAAATGCAGATTGCTGTAGCCTGACCACTATTTTTATGTAGCTGTGAAACTCAGCATGAGACTGTTTTGCACATGAGTGTGATGACAAAATATGGAGGTTCAAACCTTTATTCCAAGTCAGGGATTCAGATTTGACCATCAGCTTTTTTAAGGGTGAAGAGCTGAAGAGCTTAAGTACATCTGTACCAGGAGACCAGGAGATGGTGAGTGACCAGTGCAGAGCTGCTGCCTTAGAACTGATCACTGCTCTAGCAGTGATCTGCACTAATGCACCTCTACTTCAGAGACTCAGCCAGTGTCTCTGCTTGGTGCCGAATGACACTGTGTGCCTGGAGCTGCTGTGCACAACTTGGCACAGACACAGCTTTTGGAGCTGCTACCCTCTTCCATGACAGCTCCAGTATGGGGATTTTGGAGCTTGTCAATGTGCCATTGGCCTAACAGCTAATGATGATGATGACGATGACGATGATGATGATGATGATGATGATAATAGTAATAATAACAACAACTGCTAGAAAGAACATCTAATGAACTCTTGCAGAATGCTTTACATGTCAGAAGGCCAAAGGAAGCAACTCATTTTAGTTGTATGAGTAGGTATTATTATTCCACTTTTAAAGCTGGGGAAATTGTTACAGTGAGGTGACTTGCCCAAAACATGTCTGTCAGCATTACATTTTAAGAGCTGCAGGTCTTGGTACCATGGCCAAATTTCCTCTCAGTACTGCTAGCAGGGACTCAGTAAATGTGAAACAAAACATATACAGTGCCTTTATAGAGAAGATGCAGCCTAAGCTAAGATGGAAGATTCCATGGCTGCAATTACATCAGGTGACCAGGAGAATTTGCTGGCATAAGGGTTAAGGTTCCTCAATTCCTTCTTCTGAGTATATCTGCAGCAACTGTGTAATCTGCTTCTGAGGATCAGATATCTGCAGCCACAGATATTGCAAGATACATTTATAAGGTGAGAAGAAAAGGCAATGTAATTGTAGGGATGACTAATGCATAATTCCTGGTTCTGTGCTGGAGTCTTTGCTTGTTATGTGAAATGCAGGCCCTGCCCAGTGGTTCCACATGCTGCCTCGGCACACCTGCTCTGTTGCATTCTCCAAAAGACAGACTCTGTCATCCTAGGCAATCTCCAAGAGGTTTCTAAGGGGAAGAAATTGTCAACTGTGAGGAAAAATTATGGTAAACAACACAGGAAAGTGGCTATACCACCTGTGAGATAAACACACTGCATTTTCAAAGGCTTCCATAATCCCTGAGCAGCCAAGAGAATAAGGCAACCATGCAGGAGATAGAAGGAAGCCCATGGAGGACAGCAAACAGGCAAGCTTGCTAGGAGGCAGTTGGTGTGGCAGTTTTGCTATTAATATTCACATGCTATAACAAGGTAAAGAGTCTCCACTCAACTCTCTTTAGCTATAACCTGACCAAAAAGGTTAAAGAAATAGTGTCAGCACCCGCATACAGAATAATACAGAAGACAATGTAACTTACTCTTCACAGCAAATGCTTTCTAGCAGGATCCAGATTGCTTACTAGCTTGGATCCAGGCTTCACAGCTTGTAAGCGAGGCAAAGGATCTCCCAAGGAGACAGAGACACCTAAGGGAAGAACTGTTAAAAGAACACACCTTCGGACTTCCTTCAGTATCTGTCTGGACCTGGAATAACTGGAATAGTATTTTCAAATTGGGATGGGCATGAATATCAGGGTGGGGAAGAGCAGGATTGCTGCCATGTGCATCTAGCTTCTGCCTGTGAATCACTCCTTTAATTTTCAGTTTTTGTGTCTTACACGCCATGTCTGAGGAGTCAGTAAGGCTATACTAATAGAATGAAGAAGAGAGAGGGTGAATGCTCTGCCTATGTTTGGCAGTCATTTGGGATCATCATGTCTTGGCAGTGTTCTTCACTGAAATGTTCAATGGTTTCCCAAGTCCAACACAGCAACATAACCACAAAACTAGAGCAAACTCTGTATTTCTCTGTATTTTTGCCTAGGAAACCACGCACTAATATATGAAGATATGTATCTGAGTCCCCCTGTGCCAGCATATATTTTAAGGCCTTTTTCCTAGATTAGTTTCAACTCAAAAAGTGATTTGAATCCATAGATTGCAAGACACTTCTCAGAACCAAGCATGCATCTGTATTGCTCATCTTGAAATACAGAAGAGAGGGAAACAAGGAAGACAGCTCATCTTGGAAGAAAAGACATGTTCTTTAAGATATTCATTATGCTGTGTGCTGGATCTTGCTGCTTCTCACAAGGGACTTTCCTGAGACAGACAGAGAGACAGATGGACAGAGGGATACCATTGAGCTGTTCTGACCCTTCAAGGGCATGAATTGCCTATGAACAGAGATTTAGTTCAGGTTTGTTGGTTCATGTCTTGATGAGTGTGACATTTCTGAATACAGCTGTTTAGGAGTTCTACAACGAGTCAGCCAGGAAAGAATAAATATCAGATGTTAACTGATGCATCTGGGTGTCCATGGAGGAATCTACTGCCAAAGCAAATTATTTCCCACAGTTTGGAAATGTCTGGAGTGGGTCACCTGGGCCACGTCACTGAGAAGTAAAGCTAGGTAGGGAAATAGACTGAGCTCCAACTTTGAGTTGTGCCAAAGTACTCTGAGCCAGAACCTTTCAAGCTTAACTTCAGTACAGAATGTTCTGTTAGGTTGAGGAGTTTTTTCTGGCCCTCTGCTTTCAGCTGGAAGGATTATAGCAATGAATGCTGCATTCATAAAAAAAATAATACATGAATAACTCCTTGTTAAACCAGAAACTTCTCACTCATCAGATAAGTCAAAATGAAATTCTTTAGAAAAATTCTTAAAACTATTATCTTCCACAAGAAAGGTGAATATTAGACCCATAACAGAGGTATCCACAACCTGCAGGAAGATGGGAGGAACAGGCACACACACGGTGCAGGTTTGTTTAGGCACATGAATGACATAGTAATTAGGGTTTAGAAATGCTTGATTCACTCAGCCTCTGCTACAAAGATCTCCAAGCAAATGCATGTCCACTATGGCAAACAATACTTTCAAGGCTGGCAGAAGTCCTGCTGAGAGGACTGCAGCGAGAACATGTCTGTCAGGTTAGTTTTATGTTGTTAAGGAAATAACTTTTGCTGTGTTTCATTTCATTGCACTCGTGCAGACATGCTTCTTTTGAAGAGGATCTGATAAATACAGATTTGCACCTTGACAACTTTTCTAATGCATGAACAAGTTTTTGGAGTTAAATGAGTGCATTTGGCATATAAAACAGCTTGCAGTCAAAAATCTGTGTTCTTGAGTGCATCAGAATAGGAAATGGTGGAAAATAAAATGAAGATTAGCTGTCTGTAAGACTCCTCATAGGAGGTAACATCATCTAAAGAATTGGCTGGTATACAGTTTCATCTCATCTCTATAGAAAAATTTTTAATAAATTGTAGTGTACAGTAAAATTTTGTTTCTTCATCTATTAACATCCCTTTTCTCTCGAGACTCGCAACAGTCACAGGAGTGACTGTAACAAAATGGTTTGACTTGTGAGTGAAGGGTCTAAGAAGAGGCCAGGATTATTGGACAGAAAAAGCTGCCAGACCTGCTCAGTGGCAAGTAAGGTTCTTAGCTGCTTTTACAATCACACAAAGCCAGCATTCAAGGGCTTATCAGTCTAGTGTCCAGAAAGTCTTTGTTACTTATTTTTAAAATAAAAATTGCCTCTAATTGCCAGGTCATCTGCACAACAGAATTTAAATGCAAATGTCAAACAAACTCAAGCACCTTTTTCTTTGGTAAAAACAAAGCCTGTAGCTACCATCAGGGAACCTAAACAGTGGCTGTGAATGGTCATATTTCTGGCAACCCCAACACCAGGTACCCTATTATGAGCAACCTGTTGCCATAACAACAGTTAATAGGATTAGACTTGAAAGACTGGCTAAGTTTCACAAGCAATTTAATAACTGAAACTCAGTCTTACCAACCAGAATCTGTTTCATCAGAAGTTTGTCCCTGTTCTCTCTGAAACCAGTAGCGACATTCACTATTGTTCCCTTAGCAACATTTCAGATTTTATTTCAATTTTTACAGTTACATTTTTCAAATTCAAAGTACATAAAATTCCTGACCCAGATTCCCTTCAGAATTGTGGCCTCTCAAAGGATGCAGACAGCTGCCAAGATGCAGCAGTAAACTGGGGTGCACCAGTTGATTGACTGCAGTTCTTCCATTCCTTCAGCCCAAGAAATGGGGGAACACATGCCTAGGACAGGCTGCTGGAAAATCCTTCCCAAAGCAGCAGCCTGTCAAAGTCTATCACAATCTTTTGCACTGCAAGACTTAAGGTTCACACTTTAGGTTTTGTGCAAAGGGAATGATTATTCCCAAGCTGTGCAGAGAAGAACGTCAAATTGGCAGAGAGCATAAAGCTGTGGTTTTACTTTCTCTTTGTATTCCACAGTAAATGTACTTCTCAAAATCTTCAAGCAGATTTTTCTGAAGGGAAGCATAATATTAGCCCTCTCTGAGGCAAGCTGCTGTGCCCAGAGTTCTCTCACACTACTAAGATCTTTCTGGTACTACAAATGGTTGTGGAGAACGAGTTTATCTCATGCTCTGAATACACTTTGCTAAGTTTTAGCTGCATAGCAGAAGAGTGAAGTTTAATTCAAGCAAATGTTCTGCAGCAATTGTAAAGTAATCCCGAAGACCTACACAAGGATATACAGGTTAGATTTCCTAAGTCAGAGTGATTACTCTTACATCCAGGACTATCTTGCACCTCAGCTGTACCAAGAAGTGGAAATAACAGAAGAAATCTTCAAAGCATTTCCTCTTATTAGAGTTCCCCATCTTTCCTCAGCAAACAGGACAGCTGGTTCAACAGAGGGAAGCATTGCACATCCAGAGTTCAAGTGAATTGCTTACATTCTTTCAAATTACTTGAACTATTACACTCTGGAAGAACTGGCACTTGCACAGTGTCAGCTGTTACATTATTAGATCAAGAGATCTGATCTTGTTTGAAAAGTCAGGAACTTCTTGTTAATAATTTGGTTCAGGTAGATTAACTGACTGTTGAAAACAGCATCAAAATATTTTTTATGGCTTTGAGTTTTAAAAAAAATTAAATTCTCTTTACTTCACATATTCTTCTTCACTCCTCTACTTAAAAACTTCTCTTTCTTCACAACTACTCTCATTTACATACAACTTTCTTTTTTCCTTTCACACAAATACACACATTAGCTGTTCTCTGTTTTCTATACACACATTGCTTTTTTCCTTGTCCTCTTACAGTACCTCATACATCCTCAGGGATGTCTTCCTCTATATCGTACTTTTTTTCTCTCTTGCATCTATGTAACAAACACACATGCATTCCCGCCTAAATTAACATAATTTGGCTCCAGTTTTAATTGCATTTTCAACTCAAGTGCTTTACAAGTATTTTTTCTTCAATTTCCATTTGGAAACCCCAGGTGAATAGCACTGATCCTACCCACTACAGGCACGTAGAGCATGGCAACTGCCATACAGTCTGGATTCATAGTGAAGACTGACTCAACACTGGGCACACACAGTAGCTGTGCATGGAAAACCTCAGATTCACAGATCCTTGAGCACCAGATTCAGGACACATGGACTCAGTAAGATACTGGTGAGAAATAAAAACATCTTCGGGATAACTGGCTCCATACAAGCACAGCTTGGGTGTCCCAGCAGTGCACAGCTGGAAGTGAACATTCAGGGTACAATAGTGTGACTGTACACAGCACCAGACAATCCACTTAAGCCTAATTAGCTCCAGCTCAATTCTGGCATTGCTAGAGACAGCACCGATAGTGGTGAGAGCACAACAGGGTGTTTATAGTCCTAGAAGGACAGGGCAGGGTGGAGCAGAGGCACAAACCCAGCAGCTGTTTGGAGCTGGGGAGCAGTGGCACATCAGCACCAGGGCTAGAGCCAGGAGCGGGGCGCAGCCAGCAGGTTTAGTAACTGGCCGGCGGAGCCAGTTGGGCTCTGCATTGCACGGAGCTAATTAGTCCCCACCCGCGGAGCCAGTGCCTTGTGCTTCCTGCACTGCTGACTCCGTGCTGCTGGGTGACTCTCTGCTGCATTCCCCAGGGCTGCATTACGTAAAATGGGGCATCTCCCCTTCCCTGGATGGCTGAGAGGGCTGTCTGAAAAATCTACATTTTTCCTTGCAAGATAACAGGTATCCATGTTCTCACGTGACGTAGTCTCTTTCACTAGAACAATAATGTCAGTGAGGAGACTTTGAAGACTTCTCCAGGATTTCTGAAAGTGAACAGTTGTGTCAACTTGGAAATGACTGTGTTCCAATAGCTTTGCTATTGAAATCCTGCAGGCACTCACAGCAGTGCTCCAGTGGCTCTGCAGCACAGGAATTTTGAGAAGCACTGCATTTACCAGATATGCCTAAGAACTGTTGTTGTACAGCTGCATCATGGATCTGACCACTTCAGCAGAATCTATTAGATGGACAGAATCCATGTGAATAGCTGACTCATAACACACAGTAATGCCAAAACAGCTCAGAAGCACTGAATTCACTTCAATTGTCTACTGGCTTTACTATTTAACAGGATTACCATGCAGGAGACCAGAGATTTGGTGTAAACATGGGACTTATTTCCAGATGTTACAAAATGCATGCAAATACATTTCTCCCTGGGAAACTCTGGAAAGAAATATAGTATTTCAGTATTTAGGAATCCCAGCTTCTGAGACAGGGTTGGCAATTCAACAGACTGCATTTGTCAGTAATTTATGCAAACATAACAGGTGTTTTTATGTTTTGGAGAAAGCCAAGGTTTCCTGTTCTCTAACTGGAGCTGATCCTGGAGACCCAGCTGTCAAATGGTTGGGGATGCCAGTCTGGCCCATCCCTCAAGCTCATATTAAACCATCTCCATCCAGATTTGTAACACCACATGAATAATCTGTTGAGCCATCATCCCCTGTTGGAGGGGATAACCAGTTAAATCCAATGGACACAACCAACCTTATTTTCTTTCTGCTAAAAAAAATTATATCCCTTTCTAGCTGTATGTTTCTGCCAAGGAAACACCCCAACTAGCAATAACTCAATCACAGTCTGTAGCATTTTATTGCAGAACACGTGCCATCTTCTGCTTCAAGCTAAGAAAGACCTAGACAGAGACACAACTCACCATCTCATTCTCTTCTCCCTGGTTAAGCTGTGCATAATGGTTCTTGGCAGGATTTTCCCCCATGAAATGACCCTCTGGAGACTTTCTACAGCACCCTCAGGACAGGTCTTCAGCATAGTGTGCTTGAACTTCTACATTGAGGAAGTTCTGTAAGTACACACCTTCCTTATAATTCTGATGATGTTTGAAGTAGGGAGCTCCTCCCTCTCTGGGGTTAGCAGGTAACACTTTATCCCTCCTCCCTCCATTCTGTTGTTGCAGTTTTGCAATTGTGAGGGTTCATGCAGAATTCAGTCAAAAATGCAAGAAAGTTCAATCTTACAAGTGTTTGACACAATATGACTCCAGAGCATAACTCTGGTAGTGCAAGCAAGCGCTGCTGGCACAAAATTTTCAGGGGAGGGCAAGAGGGGAGTATTTTTCTTCAAGAGATTATGGAATCACTGGAGACCAGGAGTGTGTCCAAATAAGAAACAAAATAGCCATTGCTTTTGTTAACACTCTTAGCAACCAGTCTGAGCTAAATGTCCAGCAGTGCTCTCCACATAAGCTGTAGAAAATAAATCAAGCTCTGGCACTGGAAAAAGGGGCCCCAGTGTATGCAGGTGGATTTGTACGCTGACTGTGTGTCAGGATTCAGCCAGGTAGGATCTGTAACCAGGAGCTTTATTCATTATTGAGAATATCCTCATAGAATGTCTTCTGACCTCGCCATATAGCTTTGGGAGACATCTCTGAGGTTATTTACTCACTCCTGGGGAAAACTGGAGTTTCCCACTGATGTCAGTCTCTGACCTTTAAACCAGAGCCAAAAGGAAGCTGGCAGGAAAACAACTCTGAGAGTTTTGCCGCCTCTTCTTTTTTTGCCTTTTTTTTTTTTTTTGGGCTGCATTTGCTGATTAGTCTTGTGATTCATTCCCATTCCACTACTATTTCCTTGTACTTTGCTACTTTTTAAGAAGTTACACAAGAAATATTTCAGGAGTGAGGTCAGGAAAGGCAAACCTGTTCTTCCAGTAAGTATGTTAAGAAAACTAAAACATTACTTCTAGAGTGACTGAAACAGATCAAGAGGTACCAAGTTAGTTCCTATTCCTCAGCATTTTGCTGCCATGAGGCATGGACTTGTACAAGTCCAGATCTCAAGCAACAGGAAAGAGCACTGCCTATCCTCCAGTGGGCAGGCTCAGAGGATCTGAAAGGGAGAAATGCAGGAAACAGAGAAGAGAAAGTGAAGGAATTAGGTCAGTTAATACAAACAGATGTGCACCCATGCCCAGCACAGGGACAGATGAGTTTGAAAATGCTGATGCTAAGCACTGGAGGCAAGCTGTTCTGCCTTGAAACCTAAACACCTCCAAAAGGAGCCCGGGCCAGAGGCTGCACTGACAAGGATATATCTGTACTAAGCTGTGTAAGGGTGGTTTATTGCACAAGATCAAGAGGGAAGAAGGTTCTCTCCAGACCCAACTTCAGTGCTACCCTCTCTTTCCTCCCACTGCAACTTGCTCTGAGCCTCTCCACTTTTATTCTTCTGAGACCAAGCAAAGGGAACACCAGTTGTTATACAAGAGCCACAGTACAAACTAAAACTAAAAAAGGGAACAACTGCAAAGGTAACTTTTCTAAGGCAGGTTGATGATTTTGGGAAATGACTCATTATTTTGGGAGGTGCCAGGTGTGGAAAACAGGATGGTCACACACGCTTTTTCTGCCTGGTCAGCTTTTGCTGCTTTTCCAAACATCACCCTTGCCCTTTCTAGTGCCTGTAGCAGACTAGGGTGCAGCAAGGGTCCGTGGTTGCTCTGGCACAGAGATGAGAGATGCAGAGTTCCCACCAAAGCAGGGTCTCCAGGGAAGAATAAAGACTCATACGATCTTTTAACTCTTCATAGTTTTATTCCAGCTCCAAGGTGTTCTGCACTCCTAGAGAACACCCTTGTAGGAGTATTTATACCTTCAAAACTGGAAAGGAAGAAAAAACAGGTTAAAGGTGCAAAACATTCATCATTTCCAGAGTCTGAAAATCTGTCATAATAATTCATCAAATTATTATCAAAGAAGATGGTGACATTTGTTCATTTTCTTAAGCATGTTCACACTGCCTGGAGAGAAAGCAGCCTGAATTGGAACCTTTAGTAATATGATGCTCTCTACTGTTTGAAGTAAGAATTACATAGTATTTATTCATAAAAAGTTATTTGTTAGCATATTCTATGGAGTGTCATCATTCATATTTTTAAATTGAAACATGTCTTAAAAATCATACATAAATTACAAAAATAACTGGCCAAGCTAAAATATAAAAGCAAAGTAAGATTTAAAATACAGTCCCTTAAACTTATAAATAAATAGTCACAAAGTAGGCAAGCAAGAGGCAAAAACAAAAACACGTGCTTCACCTCAACTCAACTTTTATCCTAGTCCTGAAAATACATGTATGTATTATGTCATCCTTAGGCAATTTATTTTGCTTTGAAAAATCTGACAGTATAAACAGAAACCTGACCTCTAAAGCACCCCAAATCTCATTTTATGTTTCTCAGCATGTGACACCCAGTTCTGGCCACATTACAGAAAGGAAGCTGTGAATCAACTGGTGACATTCCACATAAGAGCACCAAGAAGGATGACAAAGGAGTCATAAAATATGGAAGAGGTACTTAGTGTTTTCTAAGGAAAAAGAGACTGAGAAGAGCCATGGCAACAATCTTCAAACAGGTAACTGGAGAATGTAACATTATCCCTGTCCACTGTGGACGTGTTACAAGAAAGATTCAGACCAGGCATAAGGGAATACTTGCTGTTAAAATCAGCAAGCACTGGCATTGCCAGGTGAGCTCTCCAATGTGGTCTTTAGGGACAGGTGTGGCACACACGGCTCTGAAATGACCTAACCAGAGATGGTCCTGTGTGAGGGCAGATGGACAGAGCCGATGAACTCTTCTGATGTCACCTTTGCCTCCTGCTTCATTGTGGCCAGAAAAAAACCCCAACAACTCACAGAAGCCCACTGGGAAACACCTTGTGTTATCCAGCTTTCAAGGCAGCACTGCCATCCATGTCATGCACTCCCCAGGCACAACAACAGCTGGGGACTCATCAGAATCTTTCCTGTAACAGCGTGGGAGACCCTGGTGCCCCCATCCAGGCTTGGCTGCCCTCAGCACCTCTCCAGGCCTGCCCGAGAGCAGCCAGGGGCACAGGGACGAGGCCCCGAGGCGATCACGGGGGTGTGGGGGATCCAGAACCCCAGTGTGAGGGACTCATGACCCCAATGTGAGGGAACCGTGATCCCAGTGTGGGGATCCATGACCCAAGTGTGACTAATCCAGGACCGCCGTGTGAGGGCTCCATGCCCCTGGTGCGGGGATCCGTGATCTGAGGGTGAGGGAGCCCTGATCCAAGTGTGAGGGCTCCATGATCCCGGTGTGGGGATCCCTGATCCAAGTGAGAGGGCCCCATGATCCCGGTGTGGGGATCCCTGATCCCGGTGCGGGATCCAAGTGTGATCCAAGTGTGAGAGCTCCATAATCCCAGTGTGGGGATCCGTGATCCGAGTGTGAGGGATGCATGATCCGAGTGTGAGAGCCCCATGATCCAAGTCTGAAAGCTCCATGATCCCGGTGCGGGGAGCCGTGATCAATGTATGAGGGACCCCTGATCCAAGTGTGAGAGCTCCATGATCCCGGTCCGGGGACCCCTGATCCAAGTGTGAAGGACCCCTGATCCAAGTGTGAGGGCCTCCTGATCCCGGTGAGGGATCCCTGATCCCAGTGCGGGGAAGCCTGATACCGGTGCAGGCATCCCTACTCCAAGCATTACACATCCAGCCCTCCCCGATTCTCAGCTCCCAAACGCCCAGCCGCCGCGGTGCTCCCTCCAAATCCTCCCTCCTCCTCCGCAGCCGAGCCCGGAACCTTCGCGCGGTGAGGCGCAGTTTC